TGCCAGACCTGCTTCCAAACCAAGTCCACTCACCTGATTGACTACTACTTTTACCTCAGCTTAGGAGACTGCTCCTGTAGGAGGGCTGACCCCCTTGCACCCTCACAGCTCTCTGCCACCCCTTCCTGCAGTCCTCTTGCCTGTCTTGCCATCATCTGGTTACTTTACACTGGGGTCAGGCCCATCACAGGGGCAGGGGCAGGGCCAATTCTTGGTCCTTCTACTCCTTAGACCAGCCAGGGCCTGGCCATGCATATAAAGCCTGGGAGTGCCCACAGCATGGATGAGTAAGAGCCATACTGACCTCGGGGGACCTTATTTGTTCCCATCAGCCTTCACTCAGCCTCTCCTGGTAGATGGGGAGGGTCAGGCAGGGGAAGCAGAATTGGAGGGGCACTTGGAAGAACCCTGCCTTGAAGCATCCCTCGATGGACTAGCCTCATGTTTCTCTTTTTCCATTTTCTCTCCCATCAGCAGCCTTTTTTTGGGTGACCCCTCATCCTCTAAGAAATATTAGTATCACAAATACACCATATCTGTGTTTTGTGTTCTATAAGATATTTGTTTTATACATAGAGTAAGATTTTTTTCATTCTCTCCCCTAAGGACCAATGTTCACATCCTTGAAAACTCATATCAACCCCCTCAGAATGAGAGGCCTAGACCAAGACTTTGAAATCCACCATTAGCACAGATATGCTGCATAAGCCACGTGCTATGTGTAGGTGCCACCACTTGTATCTAGTGAATAGATGCAGGCAGGGAATAACTGTAGCCAGTTCATTGGGATTTTCAAGAAATCTGGACTTGATTTCTAAATATCAGTAACGTGGATGGTTATTGGGGTCTTGTCAGTGCCTGGGTTGGCCCTTCCCCAGCTCCAGGGCCCTTGAAGGGAATAAAGGGCCAGCCTGCTGTGATGTGTTTCGATGCTTGCTCTTTGCTGTTGCTCGATGATGCTCAGGGTAGGTACCTCTCTGGAGCTGTGGGAGACCTTCAGAAAGTGGTCGATATACTCCTTGGCCTTGTCGTGGTAGCCCATGAGCCAGAGGAAGAGGCTAGCATAGTACAGGGCTGTCTCAGGGGCTGTCCTGCGTATTTCCTTCAGGCTGCTCTCCAGCTCCTGAATTGCTTCTCGATCTATAAATCCAAAGTGGAGGAAGAGGCTGAGTTAGGATGAGGAGGCATACCTGTTTTGCAGGGGTCACCAGGGGCCCAGGGAGCTGCCCCTGGACATTCTGGATCTGCCTCCATGTATGCAGCTGATTATGGGCCAACCTAGGGCCTGGGAACTAGCCATGCCAGCCACTGAAAATGCCCAGCCCAGGACTCAGATTTTGCTCTCTGACATTTATCTTTTCTGCTCTGGACCCAGCACAGTGTGTTGAGTAGACAGACCAAACCTGAATCTTTGGCCTCAGGCCTACAAACCATTTTGGGTGGGAAAATGGCAATTTGTAGCCCCTCCAGGAATCTCTTCCTGACTCCAGAATGGTGGAGACTAGTTTTTTTTTTTTTTTTTTTTTTTTTTGTGGTACTGGGAATTGAACCCAAGGCCTTGCTCATGCTAGGCAAGTGCTCTACTGGCTGAGTTACATCCCTATCCCTATTGGCTTGATTTTTCCGACAGGATCTCACAGAGCAAAGGAAAGAAGGGTGCTTCTTCAACTCTTGGGACCTAGAGGGAGGACCCTTCCCACTGTCATGTTCTCTGCCTCTTCCCACTCAATGGTGCCCAGGCCTGGCATCTTCTCTGAGGCTTCCAAGGGTAGACTGCAGCATCCTCTCCTTGCTGACCAGCAGCAGCTAGCTGCACAGGCACCCTTGAGGGGTGGGGTCTCCGGAGTGGGCTTCCTTCCCTGCCAGGCCAAGCCCTGCTGAGTGTGGCTGCACTCACCAATGGTTTCACAGCTTTTGTGAGCATAAAGGAGGGCCATAATGGAGCAAAGGGATGTGTCTGGGTGATTCCGGATGCTCTCCAGGTCACTGATGGCGTCCTGGATGCGCTCTACAAAGAGAGACCACATGATTATGCCTGAGAGGCAGGAGACTCTGGCAGATGCCCAGAATCCCTATCAGGGCTGACCGACCCATGGCTTAGCACCACCTGCCTTTACTTGGAATTTGAAGACTAACTGGTCTGAAAGGTCCCTGGTGGCCTGAGTTCCCTGGTGACTGGTCCAGGCTGCCAGGGGCAGGAAGGTCTTGGAGCTGAAAGGTGGCCTGCAAGCACTTGTGCAGGATACCTGCAAGGCTGGGACTATTGGCTGGGGGTCAGTTCTAAGGAAGGACCTCAAGCAGGGCATTCTCCACTAGCTGCTCAAGACTACCAATTACATTTATCCCTTATGTTTCCTGACACTGGCAGCTCTACCAGGCCTCAGCCAGACCACCTCCAGAATATCGGTGAATTGCTTCTAGGCCTTTTGGCTAAGTGCAGAGTGTCAGCAAAGTCAGCACTGCTCCTGCCTGTGCTCACCCACACCTGCCACTTCCTCCTTCTTTTCCTGCACAACTGGCTCTCAGTTTCCAAGCCTAGAATTAGATCAATAGTCATACAGTTGTCTCTCCAACCACGCATTTTGCAGATAGGGAAACTGGGATGCACAGCAGGATAGTGAGCCCTTTGAGGTCTCAAGGGTCAACTAGATATGGATTATATATGCTTTTGTGGATTAACCTGGAAAACTCAGTCTTACAGTCAGTGAAAGACTGTTTCCATGGAAACATAACTAGGATATAAGTAGGCATCCAGGTGTTGGCCATAGTGATGGAGCTGGGCTAGTGCCTGGCATCAGAATGCCAACATTGCTAAGACCTTACCTTCTCTGAGGACTCCATAGGCTTTAAAGAAATGCAACACGGGGTCATTGCTGAATTTCTCCAGGCCCGCAACTGCAGCCTGCTGCACATGGTGGAAGTACTTTTCCTGGCTATAGTAAATGATACCAGCCTGTGAGGAGGAAGACACAGTTGCACTAGCTCCGGCTCCTTTTCTCTGTTCTGACCCATATGTGATGAGACTGGTTCCCTTCCCTATCCCCTACTTTCTCTTAGTCTACATAGGGAAGAGAGAGGGAACATGCAGGCCTCCTTCAGTCCCTGAGCGTAGCTCCATGCAGTTCGCCTAGGAAGGAGTTTTCCAGTGTTCGGATATTACCAATAGATTCTTGTTAAAATATGATGTGTAACTCAATTCAGGCTTTTTTTTGAGAGAGTAATAAAGGAGAAAGAATGAGGACCAATATTAAGGAAAAACTATACCAATAGTTATAGTTACAAGTTCAAGGGCTTTGTAGCCATTATCTTACGCATAATCCTATCTATATCTTCCACAGTTAAGAGCTAAGTCTCACTTCCCCTAAGGTCTATGTGTGCTGGGGTTGGGTCCAAGTGTGGCTGGATTGTAAGAGCCTGGGGGGCCATATGAAAGAACCCAGACATCATCCTAAGGGTAATAAATAGGAAGCAGTTGGAATGGTTTTAAGTAGGAGAGAGATGTATTAAGATGTATGTTTTTGTAAAAACTACACTAGCTGCTGTGTGTGGTGGTAGTGCACACTGCTTGTGAAGACAACTAAAGCAGGAGGGAGCCTGTTGCAGTTGTTCAGATGAGAGACCGTGGTGGCCCTGGGCTAAGAGATGAATAAAAAAAGTGGGTGAACCCTGGGCACATTTAGGAGTTGACATTTCTTATTGATGAAAGTATTAAGAGACAGGTATAGGGAATATGTATTAATTAACGCTGGCGATCAAATGGTGGTGGCATCTACTGAGATGAGAGATGCAGAAGAGGTGCAGGCAAGGGTAGGGGGTGGAGAGGGTTAAGTAGAAGAGATGACAAAACAGTGGAGATGGAATGATTTGGTTTGGGGTGCTAAAGGGACAGGACCCTGATGGTGAGTGCTAACTTGGGGCTCAGGGTGCATAGAGGGCACTAGTGTCAAGGCACTCTCCAGGGACAGTGAGGCAAGATAGGGCAGGGACTCCTGAGGAGGCTAGGGACAGAGAAGGGAGGCCAAAGAGGTGGCTAGCGAGTAGAGGGCCGGGGTCACCCGGCCGGAATTGTCGGGCAGCAGTCGGGCCACGCACCATAAGAGAAGAATCATTGCTGCTCATCTCCGGCCACTCGCGGCGGCGAGTCCGGCTCTGGTAGGGCGGTGCAGAGCTGGATTCCAGGGTCAGGGTCCTGGGCACGCCTCTCCTGGCTGGAAGTCGAAGGCACGAGCGTCCTTGGAAACCGGGCAGCCAGCCGGTTGCTAAGAGCGTCGGCGTAGGGAGTGGACGGAGCACGGCGCACCACGTGACAAGGCACTGGTAGTTGAGCTTCGAGAAAGTGAATCCGCGCTGGGGCTCCCCGGCTGCCTGCGGGTCAGCGTTGGTGGTGGACGTGGGCGCCGAGCGGGGCAGCGGTCATGGGCCTGGGCTCCAGCGCCCAGCAGCCTGCTGGCGGCGCCGAGGGCTTCCACCTGCACGGGGTGAGTCGGTCCCGGGGCGCTGGTGATCTTGGAAGCGCGCCTGTAGCGACGCGTCCGCGCGTTTGGTCACCTTTCGGTTGGCGGCTACCGCTGGGTCCCCGCCCGAGCGTGGCAGCTGTGGGCTGCCAGCCTCTTGAGAGAAGTGGCATCGCCGGACTCCAGGCCTCGACGCTTCTGCCATCGCCATGGGGCTCGGCGCCCGCCCCAAATGCCAGCTGTGCAGGAAATGGGGGCGTTCCGTGTGGCGCTACCCGGAGTGGCGTTCTTCCGGGTGAAGAACGCGCCGGCTCCTCGCAGAACTCTCTGGTGCCCTCAGGGCACATTGGTGATGACCTCTGTGTGCCGTGCTCCGTGCGGAGTTGGGGACAGCCAGCAGCTCCAAGGACCGAGTGGTCCCCTGCATCGATCTTGCCGTTAAGACTTGCCTGTCGCATTGTCAGGAGGGGTATGGGGGCGGGGCGAGGACCAGTGGAACTAGCCAGGGAAGTGGGGTGCCGGAGGCCAGGAGAATGCCGCCGAAGCCCGGGAGAGCGTTTGCAGCTTGGGGAAGCGCCCCAGTGGTGAAACCCTGTGGAAAGGCGGGTCGGTGAGGCAGGGACTGAGGATGGGCTTTAGGTGCCAGGAAGTCTGGACGAATGGGCTTTAGGTGCCCCTGCAAGGAAATTTGGACGAATGGGCTTTACGTGCCCCTGCAAGAAAGTCCGGACGAGCAGGCTGCAGGACAGTGGAGATGGAGAGGAGTTCCTAGCCTGACTGTGGAGGTGGGGAGAAGAGCCTGCAGCCAAATGGGCTCTAATGTAGGTGAGAGAAGCAAGAGAGCATTTGGCCCTGGAGTGCACCTAGTTAAGATCCCCTGCCCGGGTTCAGATTCCCACCCCTGCACACTTAACCTTGTGTGAAGCGATGGATGTAGAGATGGGTGTAGACAGACAAGTTTGCTCCTTTGGTGCCTGGCTGTTGAGTGGTCTCTGCTTTGAAGGAAGGCTCTGTAAGCAGGTGTCACATGGGAGGGGTTTTCTAACAGGAAAGCCAGGCCTTTTTTGACTACCCAGCATTGATGGGATTTGTGCTTGGGGATGGCCTTTCTTATGGGGAGGCACAGAGGCAGACAGTGGAATTCATCCAGCCAGGATAGTCTTGGAACAGGTTTGATGAATAAAAAGGAATTCAGGATGTAGGCAACCAGGGAAGCCATGGGGTGATGGTAGGAGTGCAGACAGGAGGACCTAGTGGAGAGGGACAAGATTAAGAGGCTAAAGGATTAGAAGTCATCCTCCACATATTTGTGAGCACTTAATCTGGCAGGCAGAGTTCTAGGCAGCAGAGATAAAGCTGTGAACAGAATAGACAATGTCTGTAATCCATTCTTGTGTGCTTGCATTTGGATGTCAGTTGGGAGAGAAGGAAGATCATAGGAAACAAATATGGTAGGTGGTAACCTGCTAAAGCAGGTTAAGGGAAAAAGAAAAAATGGGTTGGTGCCATTTTCTAGAGTGGTCAGGAAAGGCCTCTGATCAAGTGATTTTTGGACAGATGTCTCAGCCAGAAGGGCAGACAGTATACACATGGAGGAGAGAGTATTCCAGTTAGAAGGCCCAGCAAAGGTGGGTCATGCTTGTGTGTCTGAGGAAGTGTGAGGAGGCAAAGACAGCATTTTGGAAAGTGTGGCCAGTATCAGGAGGAAGTCAGGCTGTGTAGGACCCTGCTACTGTCCTGAAGGTTCAGGATTTTATTCTGAGATGTGGGGCCTTTGGTAGGTTTTATGTGGGGAGGTAACATGATCTGCTTATATTTTTAAAACTTAAAAGAACAAGTGTGCTCCATTCTATAAATACTGGCATTCCCACCACGTGCCAGGCCTGTTGGCAATGTCCCTTGCCCTCAGTAAGCATATGGTAAGGAAGGATTCACAAGGAAATGGCTGTTATATGGCAGTGGTTAGGGGAGGACTGTGGGTTGGATTTCCTAGGGACTGAGCCCCTTTTCTCATTTTAACTTGGGTTTAGTAAAAGAGTTGAATGGATAAAGCAGGTGAAGTGGTACTGTCCTTGCCACTGGCCAGCCAGCGCTGGGTGACTTTGTAGGCTGACATCACTGTTTGTTCCATGAGGTTCACTGGTGGGGAAAAAGAGGATGGGGTGTTATGAAAAGCAGCACACATTGTGGGGCTAAATGGTGTGGGGCATGCTGGGAGTCTCCAGGGAGAACTGGATGGAGGGGTGGTGGGTTTTGCAGGAAGAGGGTGCAGTGGATGGCGGTAGAGATGATTTCAGCTGTGGAGCCCAGTGAACAATGACAAAGCCTGGGGTGAGGGAAATGGAGTTTAGCAGACAGAGGGCAGGCCCACAGGAGAGGATGGGTGGATGTACTGGGTGGGCTAGGGGAGCACCAGCCCTGGGGACTGGGGGCCTGAGTGTCAGCCCTCATCTAGGGTGGCTGACATAGTGTTGAGGAGGGGTAGAATGGCCTTGGGTATGGCCTTTCCTGAGCGGAGGTGGGGTGTTTTGCAAGTGACCCTGCTCAGGGAGAAGCACCCTCCAAAGTAGCCCTGTCCTTTGGTTTTCAGAAGCCCCTGAAGGGATAGAGGGCAGGCTCAGCTCTCCTGAAGCAGGGTCTAGGAACAGATTGCCCTCTGGGTTGGGGCAGCTAAGGTTGCCGGGCCCATGTTGGAAGCGATGGCAGCTTCTGGAGGTAATAAGTAGAGATGCAGTTGTTGCTGCCAGAAGACAGTCCTGATTCCAGGGGCAAACTGGCCTTATCCCAGAGGCTCAGCAGTTTGTTCTCAGCAGGCTGTCTGAGACCTCTCTTTCAACTTGGGGAATCCAAGACTGGAGGGGTTGGCGAGCAGCAGAAGGCCTCAAGAACCCGAGACCACAAGAGTCCTGTGCCTCTCAGGACACAGAGGCCTGGCTGTTATCTGACCCTAAGAGGTCATCAGTGTCCACGAAGGCCTAAGTATGGGCCTACCATTAGGGTCCAGGACCTGGGGACAAAGGCCATGTTGTGTGAACTTGGACCTGCAAGGCCTGGTTGTATTTTAGAAATATATTGAGCTGGAGAGTCCAGAGAGGAATTCGGAGCAACCTGGCCTGGGAATGGCTCATGAAGGAGGTTTCCTGCATAGCTGGACTGTAAGGCTACTGGGGAGGCTCATCAGGCCCAGTCCTGTCCCTGTGGTGTGCTTTCCTTCCCAGCATTCTTCAGTGGCCCTCAGTTACCTGCTGGATTGAGTCAAGGCCAGGCCTTTCAAGATCTGGTCACAGGCTGCCTTTCCCACTCCCCCTTTCTGGGCACAGCCCTGGATGTATTTCTCCTGCCTGCTTTCCTTGAGCATTGGGGTCCCTTGTCCATGTCTGAACTTTTCTAATGACACACTCTGGCTTTCCGGCCAGTCCAACCCAGCCCTCTGGGGCAGCATTTCCCATAGGCCTGGGCCAGCTTATCTTCATGTGCCTCCTGGTAACCCCCAAAGGCAGCCTTGGGCTGTGAGGCATCTCTGGAAGCATTTGTGGATGATGATCAGGAAAGACCCATTTTCCTAAGAGGAAAGCTTGTGACCAGGAAGGTAGAGAAAGGGAAGGAGTAGACCTGGACAATGCCAAGAAGCTGTGCTCTCGAGGGCACTGGGAGTAGTGATACGCCAGGGTTGGCAGTGGTTCTGGGAACAGCGGTGGGGGCTTCTTGAGCCTGGGGTTGGTGCAGTGACTGGCCTCTGTCGTGGGACAGGTGCAGGAGAACTCGCCGGCCCAGCAGGCGGGCCTGGAGCCTTACTTTGACTTCATCATCACCATTGGGCACTCGCGGCTGGTGAGGCTCCCCCCACTGCCTCTGCTTTCTTTGTGTACTTGCATCCCTCTGTCCCTCAGGAGGCCCAGCCTGCTTCTGCTTGTGTTTTTTACCCAGGGTCACTGAGGGCAGAGGGACTCTTGAAGGTGGGCTTGAGGGTGTGGAGGGGACTGGCCAAGGGCAGTATGGAGTGCTCTGGACCCAGGAGGCTTTGTGCTTGCTTGGTTGTGTTTTTTGGCCTAGGGAGGGAGGAGGATTGGGAAGTGCTAGGTGGTGGGGGTCACAGTGGCTACAGCTCACTCTGGCACCTGGCTCTGCTGGCCACCAAGGCCCTTGTGCCATCTTAGGCCCTGACTTGTCTGAAGGGACTGACCTGGGGCTGGGGGATGAGGGCTGGGGCCTTGGTGTCAGCCCTGCTGCCCCTGCAGAACAAGGAGAATGACACGCTGAAGGCGCTGTTGAAAGCCAATGTGGAAAAGCCCGTGAAGTTGGAGGTGTTCAACATGAAGACCATGAAGGTGCGCGAGGTAGAAGTGGTGCCCAGCAACATGTGGGGCGGACAGGGCCTGCTGGGCGCCAGCGTTCGCTTCTGCAGCTTTCGCAGGGCCAGTGAGCACGTGTGGCACGTGCTGGTGAGTACAGGGTGGGGTGCTCAGAAGGAGGTGGGACCCGGGTGGGGGCAGGTGTGTCAGGATTGAATGGGTGGGGCACGGGGCAGAGGCCAACAGCAGTGGCTTATTAGGGGACTCGGTGTGAGATCTGGTGGTGTGCCAGTTCCTGAGAGGGCAGCTTGTGTTACCACCTGGACTGTGTACCCTGCTTCCTGCTAGCCATGTGACTTTGGGCACTTTCTTACCTTCTGCATTTTAGTATCTTCTTTTGAAAGGTGGGGATACCATCTACTGGCGTGGTAGTTGTACTGCCAGAATGCTGCTACTGTTATCAATCTGTCTCTCAAGATAGCATAGATAGTGATTTTTCTGGTATATTGTTATATAGCTAATCGATACATAAACAGGCCACAGTGACTGAGCTGGAATAGTGTCTGATTACAGCTACTGTGCACCTGACACCTGTGCTCATAGGTGGTCGTCCAGGTTCTCAAGTGCATAGTCCTGTGGTGTGGTGGAAGGAGGGTTCCCTGAGCTAGAAGCTGGCTCACTTGTGTTCTCCTCTATAGCTTACCAGCTCCTTGGGGGAGACTAACCAAGGTTTTCAGCCTATCTTTGCAGCCAGCCTACAGAGGTTTGCTCATGAGTAAAATGTGACTGATACAGATGTCTTTGCATTTCTCAGGATGACTGGGAGGCTGGGAGGGAGTGGTAGAGCTTTTTAAGGGAGAAAGCAATCCTGTGCCCAGCTTTGCTCACTGTCCTCGCCTCCTGCCCTCAGCCAGGGGTCTCATGTGCCTCAGCAGTCACAGCAATGCAGTTGGCACTTCCTCTGGCCAAGATGTGGTTTTCTTTCTTTAAGGTATTTCTTTACTCTTCTCCCCGACCTTATGAAACCTGTTTTGAATTGTGGAGAAATGCTGAGAATGGTTTAGGAATTCCACAGTCACACAGCTAGTAGTTGGAGCCAGGAGTTGAGGCCCAGGTCAGATTCTAGAGCCCAGTGCTGAATCATGCCATGGTGCTGCCCTCTGCTGGGCAGGCTGTAGGCCTGGGGAGGTAGGGAATTGGGGTGAAGGAGTCTGGGCTTGAGGTCCTGCTTGACAAAAGAGGACAAGTATCCTACTCACTACCTGAAGAGGTTCCACCTCCTGCCTCTTCTCCCAGCTCAGTGGCGAGGCTGCTGGTTTGTGATTCTTTCTCCAGGATGTGGAACCCTCTTCACCTGCTGCTCTTGCTGGCCTGCGCCCTTACACAGACTATGTGGTTGGCTCAGACCAGATCCTCCAGGAGGTGAGAAGCCCATGGCCTGCCCCTCCCAGAGAGATGGATGGGGTGTGCAGAGATGGGTGGTGTTCCTAAGAAGCGTCTCGTTTCGAGGCTTCCAGTCCAGTGCCAGGAACAGGCCTCAGCTGCTGTGTGTTTCTCATAGTCCGAAGACTTCTTTTCTCTCATCGAGTCCCATGAGGGGAAGCCCTTGAAGCTGATGGTTTATAACTCCGAGTCTGACTCCTGCCGGGAGGTGACTGTAACTCCCAACGCAGCCTGGGGTGGAGAGGGCAGGTACTTCCTGGGGTCTGAGGGCTGCAGGGTTAGGTGGGCGGGGCCTGCCTAGTGGGCATGGACTTCCAGAATCCCCTGGAGGAGGTAGAGTACTGGGCCCTTGGCCCAGGACCTCTGAGGCTGACTTCTAGCCTGGAAGTACCCTTTCCAGCCCCTCAGGGATGGGATGGTAAAAGCAGGGAGGGCTGTGACTGTGGACAACCCCATGAATGAATATTTCTGGCCTTTGGTAGTCTAGGGTGTGGCATCGGCTATGGGTATCTACACCGGATCCCCACCCAGCCCTCCAGCCACAAGACGCCACCTGTTGTTCCAACACCTGGCACCCCACTGCCCGGCACCCCACCACCTGGTGCCCCACTTCCTCGCGCCTCGATGCCTGGCACCCCACCACCTGGCGCCCCACCACCTGGTGCCCCACCACCCGGTGCCCTGTCACCTGATGCCCCGCTACCTGATGCCCCACCACCTATTGTCCTGCCACCTGGTGCCCCGCTACCTGATGCCTCACAACCTGGTGCCCCATCACCTGGGCCCACCCCTCAGGATTCTTCTGGCCTGGACCTAGGTTCCAGGCAGAATGACTACATGGAGGTATGTGTCAGCCAAGGGAAGAGGGGAGCTTATATGGGCAGAGGGGCCTGCCAGCTGGAAAAAGACTCTGGAAGCTACCCTTGGGGTGCCCCAGCAACGTCACCCTTGTGAGGCCCTTGTGCCTTTAAAGGGAGGCCCACCTATTTCTGGGACACAGTGGAGCAGATGGGCCCTGTCTGGGACAGTCAAACCACTTTTGGCCCTCCTGTCCCTTCAGGTGAGGCACTGGTTGTTGTCTACATTCATAGGTGGAAACTGGGAATTAAGAGATGGGCAGAGCCTTGCTCTGTGCCCCAGTGAGACTGTGGCATTCTGGGAGGTTTTCTGGGTGTCAGGCTGAGTCTGCAGGGCAGTGTTAGCCCTGCCGTCGTGGTTAAAGAGTGGGTTGAGGGCACCTTGGGCAATGGGGTTTGTGCCAGGGGGTATGCTGGGATGTTCCTTCAGTTGTACCTGAATTCAAGGAAGACCCTCACTCCCTCTGGTCACCGAGGGTGCCCCCAAGTAGCAGGGGGAATATGTTAGAGCCAGGTAGATACCTGGGGCTCAAGGATGTGGATAGAGTGCTCCGTCTATGTGGATATGGCAGGGGAGGCCAGGCCATGGCCCTCTGGCCTGACTTCACATTACTTGTAGGGGAAAGGGCAGATGACCAAGACCATTTCCTTCCTTAAGGCACAACAGTTTGCACACAGCAAGGGTGGGCTGGTATCTAGGCTGGATTGTGAAATCCACCTCAGGTCACTGTCCTGATGGCCCCCTTCCTGTTCCTTCTTCCTTGGTGCCCCTAGGCCATGCTACAAGTACCTGGCTCCCTCATGGATGGACAGCTCCCCAGGTCTGGAAGTCCCAGCCACAGTGCTCCAGACTTTGGGGGACTTCCACATTCCATGGAGATTTCTCTTCAGCCTCCACCTCCAGTGCAGCGAGTCATGGATCCAGGTACTGGGCAGGCCCAGAGGGGAGGCTAAGGAACCTGCAACTCCTGGTGCGAAGTGGGCCCCGGCTTGCAGCAGTGCCAAAAACATTCCCTAGGGCCTGTTGCCCCTTCATACCTCACAAGTGCCAAGACTGTTGCAGGCCATCTAATCCATTGCATGGGTGGAGTCTAGTTCAGAGAAGAGAGATGGCCTACTTCAGGTCACACAGAAAATTGGAGACAGGGCAGGGTCTGGGCTGCCCCCATGGTCTGAGCTAACACTGAGCTAACCCCATGATACACAGCCCCTAAGCCCTTTCCCTCAGAAAAACCCAGTGGAACCTTCTTGGGGTTGATTGGATGGCACCACCAGGGAATGAGGACGTTATAGTCTCCAGCTAGGCCAGGGATAGATATCCCAGGCACTGGGCAGGGTGAGCCCAGGGTACTGGCTTTCCAGCAGTCAGGGTTTTGTGTTGTGTTCCCTCCTCAGGTTTCCTGGATGTGTCAGGCATTTCCCTCCTGGATGGTAGCAATGCCAGTGTGTGGCCCAGCCTGTCCTCCTCCACAGCGCCGACTACCATAGCCAACTCAAATGTAGGACCAGAGGATGTTGGTTCCAGCAGCAATTCTCATGAGCAGGGTGGTAAGTAACTTTCCCTTCTGAAGCCCTCTGGGAAGGACCCCAGGTTGCTGGTAGTCTGCCCTAAATTCCTCAGCTGGGTTAGTTAGAGGCTGCCCCTTGGGTTGAGTACAGCCATATGGGAATTCATAAACTTTATCTCCTATCCCCCATTAAAGCCTAAAGAGGTGGGGGATTGGGCATCATAGTTACTGGCCCCAGTACCGTGGTCGTAGGTCCTGGCTTCTCCTCAGCCCAATCCTTGTGTTTCAGGTGAGGCCACATGGTCTGGGTCAGAGTTTGAAGTCTCCTTCCTGGATAGTCCGGGTGTCCAGGCCCAGCCAGACCACCTGCCTCAGCTGACTCTTCCCGACAGCCTCACCTCTGCAGCCTCGCCAGAAGATGGGCTGTCTGCTGAGCTGCTAGAAGCTCAGGCTGAGGAGGAGCCTGCAGTCACAGAGAGCGCAGACTTCAGGGCAGAGGCTGAGAAGCCAGCCAGCCAGGCCCAGATATCTTCCCCAGAATTACAACCAGGGCTGTGATAAGGTCTCTGATGATATTTCATGAGGTCCAGATGTGGGCAAGCAGCCCAGCTCCATGCCTGACTCTAGCCTTGTGTGTTCCACTTTCTAGGCTGCAGTTCCAAGTGATGTGCAGGGACCTCTGTTGGCAGGGTTTTGTGTCTTCTTTGAGCCTCCTTGGGGTCTTTAGGAGATGACCTTGAAGCACTTACACTGTGTGATGGTCCTGGCTTGGAAACTTTCAAGCAAATACTTTTGGGGTGTTAGAGGGCTGGGAGCAACACTCCAGCTTAATGTTTTCCAGGAGCTGTGATGGTAAAGGAGGGGATTCTTTGCTGCTTTGGAGGGACATGAAAGCTGACTTGGTAGTGAGAGAACGCCATGCACCCTCAGGACCAGTGCCTGTTCTGGTCACTCGGGTTACCCAGGAGGCAGCAGGGTCTAGACATGTTCCAGTATGAGGTCAGGTGAGGGAGGAAGGGGTTGTTTCAGTTGTTGCCTGATGCTTTGTAGGGCTTGCCTTGATCCTGCCTGCACAGCCCGGCTAGCCCATCTGTACTGAAAGGGACCCAAGCCCAGGACTCCACCCTGCCAGTCACAATCACTGATGACTCCCTCATGTGCCCTCATGCACTACAGTGCAACATTTGGCTCAGGCTGGCTGGTGTGCCCCACCGCTGGAGGAGAGAGGCAGTGCACTTGCCTCTCTTTTAGTGAGGGTTTGAATATTCTAGGCTCTTCCGCAGAGACCCAGCTATACCTGCACCACATTTGTTCTTCCCCAGGGCCTGCATGCCACACATCTAGTATTCTAGTGGCAACTCCTGTCGGCTCCCAGACTTACGCAATGATCTCTGATATTCAAAGCATCCAGCCCTAATGATGAATAAAAGTTGCAAATTAAGCTCACTGTCCTATGTAAACTCTCAGTCAGTCCACCTCACTAGGTCTCTTCAACACCTAAAGCTCCATCCCAAGAGTCAATCAGGGGCCTAGAAAGGCCCTTCTGTCCTTTTCTGTAGTATGTGGGAACAGTTTTCTCCACCCCCTGGTGCCTTTGTAGGCTAAGACTAGGTTAGGTCTACCCTGCTCAGCTCCTGCAGAAGGGGATGGCTCTATCCAGGGATAGCCTCTCATCAACTGAAATCCTCTGATGCTCTGACCCAAGGCCCTCACTCCCGACGCTAATTACTTCCTTGACAATTACCGTGAAAGCTGCCTATGGCCTTGTCTTCTAGCCTTTATCTCGTTTCTAGAGTTTCGCTATTGCAGTTCCATTTGTATAATGTGTGTAGGATGGTGAACACAGGAAATTCAGTTCTGTCAGGCCTACGGGACAAGGACTGGGGAGCATAGACCAAATTATATGGAGGAACTAGGGCCCCAAATTAGCAAAAGTTTCAAGCACTGTGACTACATTTAAAGCCAACCCTTGTCAAGCCTACCAGAGCAGCTGATAAGTCTGCAGAACAGTGAGGCATTGTGTCCTGGACTGTCTGGGAGCCCAGTGTCAGTCTGTAGGAATGCAGGAAGTAGAACAGAACCGCCACAGGACTGTCTCGGGGCCAGCTTTCCTTAGCTCTGTAGCCTGGCAGTCTGACCCACAGTTGCTCTCACTGGAAGGTTATAGCTCCTCCTCCCCTCTCCTTTCTCTTCCCGTCTAAACTGGGGGATAAAATGGTATCAGTGCTAATGATTTCCAGGGTGAACATGAAACCAGAAGTTTCCTTCTCTGTAATTTGCTATGAAGGAAAACGCAAGTGAAAAAAATAAATATGTACTACACCTTGAAATATTTTAACTAAAGCTTTTATTCTATACAACTGTGAAATACAGATTTTTTACCCTTTTGGCATTGCAGACTGTCAAGATTTTCTGGAAACTGTATTACTGGTAAGACTGGAGGGGAAAAACAAAAATATAACCATGCTGGGGGTCAGATCTACAACAGAGGGGACACAGCCACCCAAGGCTCAGCACACGGGGCAAAATGACCCAGCAAAACACAGTCCTTTAGCTCAAAGGCCCCTTGTGCAAACACAGCTGAGGGCTGGTAAATGAATTTTTTTTTTTTTTTTGCTATTAGTTCACAACTATTGCTAAAAAATGTGCACCAAAAGCGCACTATTGTATCCAACAGATAGAAAGGATTTTAAAAAAAAGAATCTGGTTGCTCTGAGGAAAGGATAAAGACCACCTCAGCTCCTTGGAAATGTGGCTGTGTCTCTGCTCACTTCTTCAAGGTGCAAGAGGTACACTTTCCAGAGTTAGCTGACCAGCAGTGAGGGAACCCTGTCTCTGCAGTTGTGCGGATCAGAATATCTCAAATTGTAAGGTATGGACCTGGGTCCATAATCTGCCCCTAACTGAACCTGTGAAGATGTAGAAAAGAAAAACCCTTCCTCAGCCTCCTCCCCAGTCCCTGCTACTGTGGGGTCAGGCCACACACAAGCTGGGGAGGCAACTGGACTGGAATAAACTGCCCTCTGAAGGCACTTGTGCTTCTGGCTTCATACAAGGAGGCTAGTCTTATGTAGTTTTATGGGGGTGGACCATTGATCTATGCTGAATACAAATGACCTTGGGAAGAATCCAAAGTATTTTCTGCCAAAAGTTGAAGTGTTTATCCCCAATAAGTTATATTCTGTACAAGATCCAAATGATTCTATGAAAGCTTTAGATTGTTAGAAAGAACAGTGAAAAGAAGATCTGGATACAGGTACAACAACAAAACCTGCATATAAAACTTTGGAAAAACAAATATGTATACTTTCCAGATATGAATATCAAACTAACTCACTATGATATCCCTTTACTGTGACATCATAAATTTTAGGTAGCATCTGAATGAAATTAAAATTTCATCACGGTCTTGTTTTGATGGTGTCAAGCTGTTCACCCAGAGCAGGAAGCTATGGTCTCAGTTGCTTTGCCCATGAATAAAGCTGCACGCTGGAGGAAGGTGCGAACAGTCGCGCCTCCCAGGGGCTGCTGCCAGCCAGGGCATCCTTGGGCTGCGTTAATTCCAGCACCTGGAACTTCAACAGCTCTACTACAAGAACACATCTGAGATGCAATATTAAAAATGAGCCCAACATCAGTTATTTATTATGAAGTGGGCTGGCTCTCGAATTGTGCAACAGCAAATTCCCATTAAAAATAACTTTCAAACGGTGAAAACAATTAGATTTTCTTTCTATGACAAACTTGGAAAAAGCCTTCATAGGTACTGCATGAATGGAATGTACTCTTAGAAAAGCTACAGAGCTTGTGGGTTTGAAATTGAAACACAGTTAACAGATGTGGCCCTACGGATGTTCTATAACAAGTGCTAACAGACAAAGATAAGGTCCCTTGAAAGAAAAAGAGGAAGCAAAGTCTGCACTGGCCTGTCATCAGTTCTCAGGACAGAGTCTGCCTGGGGCTCTTCTGCTCTCGCACTCTGCTTCCCTGGGGGCAGCTTAATCTACACGTAGAGACTGGTTTCTATATTACATCTCAATTAGTCACTTCAATTGAAAGATAATCTCGGTCCATACCAAATTGGCCATTAGAAGTCTTGCTCCCATTGGGGATCAGTGGGCTTCCTAGGACTACTCTTGGGGCCATAGAGGAAGGTAGTAAATGAATACCCAGGAGCATAGGCCCACCCTTCACGTGGACTTCTGACGGTAATGGAGGGTGAGATCACCACCACTTTTCCATATGAAGTGTTTCACTGTTCGAAGGTCCATATTTGGATCCAAAACCTGAATAGCAAAAAATATATTAAAAGTCTCTAATATCTAAAACCTTCATCCTTTACTGAGGACTTGCTACCAGAGGGCACAGCTTGTTTACTCCTACCCCATGCCTAGTGGCCTCGCCTGTTGGTACAGCTTTCATGCATGCAGCTGGGAACCTAGGCACAGATGTGTATCTTTTGTAACTCAGCCCTTCCCCTGAAGAAGTACCTTCAGTGCATCTCGATTTAAAACAGTACCACCATTTCTCCATCCACCTCCACTGCACATCTTAACTAACACAACAGATGTTGCTCTGCAAATCAAGACAACTTTGTTTTTTGCTCATAAGAAAAAAAGCTATTCGCATATTCACATTTGTCTACATGTGTTTTTAAATCTGTGTCCCTTTACTGAAAACCATCAGGGGAAACAGGAGCTTTAGGTTGGGCTGAAGAACCCCTCTGGAAGAGACACACACACAGGTAGGGGAGACCCAGAGCTTAGAGCTTCTGTATAAGCAGAACTCCCCAAGAGATTTGAGGACTACAATCACACCACAATTATGTAACTTTCTGAGCACCAGCACTAGAAAAGAAATAGGGCTATGGTCCTCAAGTTTGCTTACCTGGTCCTGGCATAAAAGTTCAATTTTTTCCTCTGCCAACACAGCAATATCCTCTTCTTTTTCCTGTTCTCCTGGTTTTTCATTATTAGAAGAACTAGTGGTTTGAGACTCATTATCCAGGTTGATGATTTTCTCATAAACATGTTCCATTACTTTCCGGACTTGGAGCATGTCACTAGCAGACAATCTATCTCTGTAAAAGGTAATGGACTATTGAGACACCAAGAAAAAACATGAGATTTTGTTCAAACATACCACAGAAACATAAATCAATAATTTTTTATCATTGTCTTATACTATTTTTAGAAATGTCAAAGACTTTCTGTAGTGTCCCAAAGGCACAGATTATGTGTAGGTAAATGAGATTAAGCACGTTCTTGAAACTTAACATGAGAACAACCTTCTGGATTTTATTTCCTTAAATTCTCTCCCTAAGCACAAGCAAATTAAAGAATCAGAAAAGCCCAGTGCTCTTGGGGCTCAATTTTCCTTGGGCTCTTTCCCACTGCCACATCTTCAACTAGCACCTGAGGGAGATGATGCCTCAGTCTAGACCACAAGCCTCGAGACTGGGCATCTCCAGTTGGCTATCCCAAAACAGACTCATCAGTGCCTTCATCCCCAAACCTACTTTCTATCTTTGATATAAGTCAACAGGCATTAAACCAAGTAGCTAAGGTTTCAATTGTAAAAGCCATCTGGAACTTCAGTCATTCAATCTATTTGAAGTGATGTCCAGGACATGCTTTAAAATAATCCAGTATGTTTGTGTGGAGGGAGATGGCTGGAAAGGTAGGTAGAAGTATAGGTGAGCAAGATGTTTAGCCAAATATTGATAATTACTGAAGCTGTCTGATGGGTCACTGGATACTCATTATTCTATTCTCTTTGTGGAAGTTTTAAAAAAATCTTTGTAATAAAACAGTTTTTAGTAATCTAATTGATTTTACTTCCTAGGGTATACACAGTGTTCCAAGTTCAGTGTCTCATTCTTGGACTACTAAAATTCTTCTCTTGGGTCATCTTGCTTTGAGCTTCTCCCTAAGTTACCTTTCATGTCTTCTCAGATATTTCTGGTGTTTGGTCACTATACGCTCTATGGCTTGGCATTCAAATTCACTGCTGAGGAAACCTCACCTTTCTAATTTACCTCCTAGAACCTCCTGCTGCCACTCCAGCCTATGCTCATGTACCCAGAGTACATGAGTTCTCAAACACCACTTTCCAAAATCTTGAGCATGCTCTTGCTCCCACATGTCTGAATGAGCTGTGCCCTGCACTGTCTTTTGAAGTTCTACCCACCCTTACAAGTCCAGCTCAAATCCCAGGTTCTTCAAGAAGCCTTTCTGGAAAGCTCTAGTCAAAAACTCATTTCTTTCCCCCACTCTCATTATTCCTTTGGTATTTACAACAGCAGTTAATATACACAGGTTGGGTACTAAACTGGATTTTGGCAAAACAAAATCCATCAACATGATAAACCAGCCTTAGACCTAGTCCTTGCTTCCTGTGCTATAAAGCAATCATCAGAAAAAGGAATTCTCTCCATCAGTTATCTAATGATCAAGGAACCACATAGGCCTACATTTACTTACTTTTTTAAGGTTTTTGCTCCTGAAGATGCATGAGGTTGGAGGTAGAAAGGAATTTTGTTGAATTTGGGCATATTTTTCTGAAATAGTAAAATTAAAAAAGGTATAATAGTTTCCATTAGCTGATAAACTAAAATGCTGTCAATAGGAAAACATGATTTACAAATAATTATTTTACAATTAAAAGTGACTGTCTAACTTATAATAAACTATTAAACTATGTCAGCCTTACAGAAAATTTATCAGAAAAAATTACATTTAGTTTTGTAATAAAAGATACGTGAAGGCAAATTATATGGAATATTAGTGGCAATATGAACTTGTAGCATGGCTCATCTTAAATAACAGTACAGGTATTAAAGGAAAACAAACTTTAATTTTTTAAACATATAAACTAAAACCTTAACTCTACATTAAAATACTGGGCTAATACCTAAAGAAACTTAAGTGTCTTAATAAAACCCCACAACATTCACCTCTGAGCCAAGCCAGACTTATGCGGGTGGGGGCCCATCACCCAACTGAAATGGCAATAAGGCCCTCCTGCTGCCTCTCCCTCGACATCATGGTGAGGGCTGGGAAAGAGTGGAAACACGGCCAACAACCTGGGCATCTACCGTAAAATAAACCTCATGGTAAATGAAGGATAAAACCACCTGGTCATCTTTTCTTGGGGTATTAATCCCCTCCGAGCTTCTCTGTCATAGTGTCTGGATGTGTCCTCTCAGATTTGCGCCACAGGCCTACAGGCAGTAATGCAAACCGGCTGAGTTTTACATTCAAAGGAAGGAGTGGTGTATGGACAGCTCGGACATAAAGAAGACCACAGCATAGCCATCAGGTGTCACAGTGGCTTTAAGTTCTTGGGGTGTATCTGGGACAAAGCAAATTTCTAAAGGTTCTAGAGATTAAATTCCTTTTCATATGGCTTAGGAATGTACAAAATAGGTTAACAGTACATCAGAGAGTCTCAGAAACAGACCCAGGTGTATATAGAAATTTAGTGCACAATAAAGATAGCATTTCAAATTAGTAGGAAAAGGATAGATTATTCAATAAATTGTGCTAGCACACTGGCTATACCTGTGCAAAAAGAATCTTACCACACACTAAACAGAAGAATAAATTCTAACAGATTAAAGATCTAGACATAAAAGAAATTATCATAAAGGTACTAAAAGAATACAGGAGAATTTTTTTTGCTATTCTGGAGTGGGAAATACTTAAACAAGACACAATACTTAGCCATGAGGGACTGATTTTATAAAAATTAGAACTTTTCACCTAACAAAAGACACCATGAACAAAGTGAAAGTTTAGCTGAAACATAAAGAATAGTCAAAGGGTTAATAGTCAATATAAAGATCAATAAGAAAGACAAACAACCCAACAGAAAAATGAGTAAAGAATACAACAGCCAATTCACAGAAGAAATACAAATGGCCAATATGAAAAGATGCTTAACCTCACTATGAAATTAAAAAACAAAACAAAACAAAAAACTGCCTTAAAAAAATAAGGTATTTGCCTATCTTATAGCAAAGATTAAAAATATCCAGTGTTGGTATCGGTGTGGAGAAACAGATGTTTATATGCTGTTTGTGAGAGTGTAAACTGGTACAGCCTTTGTGGAGGGCAATTTGGCAATATCTATCAAAATTTAAAATGTGCATACCCTTTGATCCAGCAATTCCACTTCTAGGAATTTATCCTAAAAAGTACACAAAGATATATGTACAAGGATGTTCACTGCAGCACTGTTTGTAATAGAAAACATTGGAAACAACCCAAATGTCCATTAATAGGGGACTGATTAAGTAAATTATGGTACATTTACACAATGGAATACTATGCAGTCATCAAAAGGGACGATCCGTAAGTACAGACATGAAAATATGTTCATGATACATTTTTAAGTGAAAAAAGTTGCAGAACAGTTTTAAAAGATATTTTGTGCAAAATAAAATGAACTATACACACGTATATGCACACAAATAATATATACTTGTGTATGCAATGAAACAAAAGTACTGAAAGCTCTACATTAACCTATTAACACTTGTTACCTTTGGGGGGAAAAATAGGAAGTGAATGGCGAGGAGTGAGGGGAGAAGAGACAGGCATTTCACTTCATTCATTTAATATTTTGTTAAATAAGCATATATTGTTATAATTAAAATCCAATAAAAACAGAAATAAATAATTATCAATACTACTTCTGCAACTTTGGAACGGTAAGGAAGCAGATGGAATTCCACTTGGAAATCTAGCTTTTATTAAATTTAAGATCACATTGTCTAAAGCAGTCCTTATTTTTATGAATTGGAAAAAAATAAAAGGGCAAAGTGCAAGTAGAGGACACTTACATCCACAGTGATGTCAATTACCCATTGTGGCACTGTCTCATTGAGAAGCATCGACTCAGTCTCACCCCCAGAATCTCGGCAGAGCAGCCTAAACATAACCCATTAGGTAGTGAGTAACACAACAAGCACAGATGACATGATCAATACTAATCAACATTAGAGGGAGGAACCTGCCTAGATCTCATTGAGGATGATCCCTACTTGACAGCTGAGGAAATGAAGCGCAGCAGGCACAGGACTCAGTGAACCTGGGCACTGGCTTGAACCTCAGGCCCTCTGCGCCTGAGGCCAGGCATACACTATAGCTGCGTCTCTAAGTCCTTGGGGCACAATAAGAAAACAGTGTAAGCAAAGCACTCAAGAAAGGGCCTGTGCCAGTGCCACAGGTCTTCATAGGCAGGATATTTTTGGTGATCACTTTCAAGAAACCAACCATAAAGGGAGAGAATGCTAGGCTCAAGGGCAAGATTAGCATTCTTACTTCTGGGACCCAGAGAGGACTAGTGAACTCTTGCATTTGGGTCCACCACAGTCCTGCTGGTAACCTGAAGGGCCTCACAAAGGACTGCTTGGCACCCCAGGGTAGGCCAGTGCTGGGCACATCAGTTCTAGAGCCGCCCAGCATTCCTTGCCTGGTCTACTCTGATGCTCTCCTATGGGCAGTGACATGTGGTGATGCCATAGGTTCCCTAACCCTGGCAGTCATACTGGTAAAGTAAGAATTTCCTGCAGAAACCACCAGAGGTGCTGCCTGGGGGCAGGATATCTACCTGGTCCCAACACCAGAGGCCACCTCAGATAGAATGTAGTCTGATGGCATCAGATGGTTAACTATCTCATGAAAGTTGAAAAATTTCTAAATTCCTGACATTCCTAGAAGTTAGTAATAAGTAACTTCTAACATCCGTCTAAGTCAATATGTCTTAGCAAAAGGGATGCTCTCTCAGGCAAGGCCTCTGGTCCTTCTTTACCCATACCTGAACAATGTGCGGCCTCCAGCTTCACCAAAGATCACAGGTGTGTGTGGTGGTACTTGAAAATATCCATTTCCCTTCTGCACTCGGTTCTCCTGCTCCCCATTTACTAGGAAAAGATGCAGATTGTGTCATTATCCAGAGTTAGCAATGCTAGAAACATAGACTCAAAGCCTTTTACTTCCACGGGCTTCAAACACAGTAAGATTTTTAGAGTCAAAAGTCCTATAACCCAGTCAGAATTACAAATAAAGGTCAAAAACAAAAGTTGAATTCCTGAAAATAAGAAACAATTTGTGTTGTACCTCATGAGAAATGACTATACTGCAAGATTTTAATAAAAGCGGAGATTAATGTTTGAGATTCTGTTTTGAACATAACCAGCTACTTCAGCCACAAGGAAGTCTAGGACTTCTGTTTATAAATGATCTGTATTTGTTTTTTTGGCATTTGGTAGAAAACCAACCTCAGAAAAATTTCTACAAGGAAAAACAATATGTTTAATGGTAGCCCTAGTTAATGGCAGAAGTCTCTCTTTCATGAACATGACTCTGAATAAAATTGGAAGCAATCTCACCTTCTGAAATCCTATAGCATTCTGCAACTTCTCTCACAGCACCCACACTTCTCTCTTATCACAAAATGCTCTATTATGTAGCTCTCCATCCTATCAGAACATCAGCCCCGGAAGGACAGAGTCCACTATACCCATTTATCTTTATTAAGCCCCCTGCAACTTGCTAACGGCCTCTGAATACTCAAGCTGTTCACAATGCAATTTCCAAATAATGCCAACATATCCACTGAGCAGGATGCAAGTGTCACAGGAGACTCCAAGACAGGTGGAGTGTGTAGTGCCCTGAGCTCTGGAAGAGGAGGTGGACAGGCTTTGCCCTGCCTTTAACATGACAGCTTGATCCTAAGAATGGTGTAGGGTGTTTTGGTGATTTCTTCCTTACTGCTCCACCTACAGCCTGGATCCAAGAAGTACTGTTTTTTGATTGCTTAATCCTCACTGTTTATTTGAGCCTCTGAGATAATCCTAACTAGAAATAACCTGCTCAGAGCTGCATAGTTGACAAGTGGCAGAGCTCACACCAGAACCTAGTTTTCTTGACCCTCTGTAGAAAAGATCTTCCATGAGTTTGTCTGGCTTCCAGTTCATGGTACAATTATGACAGGGAGAGAAGTGGGCCAAGTGAAGTAAAAAAAAAAAAGACTCCATGATGGGTTAGTGAGCTCTCTGAAAGAGACACCTGCAGATTGGTAGTCTGTTTTTTGTTGTTTTGTTTTGTTTTTGGTACCAGGGATTGAACTCAGGGGCACTCGGCCACTGAGCCACATCCCCAGCCCTATTTTGAATTTTATTTAGAGAGAGGGTCTCACTGAGTTGCTTAGTGTCTAGCTTTTGCTGAGGCTGGCTTTGAACTCACGATCCTTCTGTCTTGGCCTCCTGAGCTGCTGGTTGCAGACTGGTTTTGAGAGAAGATGAAGCATGTCATCACCCTGAGAAATTTAAATTGCACAAATCACTATGGATCAATCTGTAGGCCAGAATGAAGTTCATGAAAAGTGATGCTTGCCATTGCCATTGCTGCTTATTCCTGGTGGTTGGTGAGAGGCATCAGCAGAGTCACCCTCAGGAGCTGGGACTCAGAGACTCCTCAAACAGCTGCAGTTACACGTGACATGTGAAATTCTAAGTTTGTTCTTTCTTTCCCCTTCCTTTAACCAAATTGCATACCTTCAAAATACATTCTCCTCTGTTGCCCACAAAAAGTTATTGCCATTGTCTGTGGCACACATGCCTTTTGAATGTACTTCATGACACCAATTCTTCACACATACACACTTACCTTACTGCTTCTGAATTAGAATGCTATCTGAGTCAAAATCAGGTAGATCATCAGGCTAGGTACCAACATTTCACACCAATGTGAAGTATGACTATGCAATAACAACCCTGGCTTTCTGGTATAGTTAATTCGCTTTCTGGGTGGTAGATTCAGGTCACATACACTCTGAGGAATATTTGTGGAATAAGCTTGCTAAGGTGGGTAGTTTTAAGGCAAATTTCACTTGCATGTGTAGTGGGTATTAAAATTTTACCTATCTTGAGCAGTCTCACTCATAAAAAGCCACACCAAACAGTGGTCTGCTCTCTTGTAATCTCAGTCTCAGCTAAGACTGGATGGACACTCCCACTTTAAGATGCAGAAGGGAAGACAATTAATTGGGCATACCACAAATATTTATTATGTTACATTTTAGCAAATAGTTTAAGTACCTTTGGTCCTGAGTAACTCTTAATCAATTTTTCTAAATATAAAAACACTAACCATGGTTTACTTCATTTTCTTCTTCATCCATTGGATTCACATGTGTTCTAGGCCAATATTCTAGGAGTGCCTGGAGTAAAAGTCCTCCCAAGTTCACTGCAAAAAAGTTAAGAGAATTAGTTATAACCTAGAAATAGAAGAAATAAAAATATTCTGATGTTAAATTCTTAAACCAATACCCATGATATTTAAAATCGAGACTTAAGTATTTGTCAAACCTGTTAAAATTTTATCTTAAAATGTTTATAGCAGGCATGGTGGTGCACGCCTATAATCCCAGCAGCTCGGGAGGCTGAGACAGGAGGATCACGAGTTCAAAGCCAGCCTCAGCAATGGCGAGGTGCTTAGCAACTCAGTGAGACCTGTCTCTAAATAAAATACAAAATAGGGTTGGGGATGTGGCTCAGTGGCCGAGTGCCCCTGAGTTCAATCCCTGATACCAAAAAAAAAAAAAAAAAAAAAAAAAAAGTTTAAAGTAATAATGACATAGGACAAATACTTTACATGGTTATTCTAAGTAGCCACTCTTCAAAAACAAATGAAAATAAGAATCACATTCTTTAAAGGGCTAATTCCATATGAAGCTGCTAAAACTGTATCTACACACATTAAGCATCTATGTCTATATTTCTACCTGTTTCTACATACCATATTAGTGACATAACTGATAAAACATAAGGGACTCTGTACAAAGACAAATAGATAGCAAAAACAACACAGATGTACTTTCTCCTGTGGAAGGAGAAAGAGAAGGAAAGGCACTTAACTCACATTTTGGATCTGACCCATCAGGGCTGCTGAAACCAGCATCTTTTGCAGAAACCCAAGCAGCAAAACAGTCACTCTCATCCAAAGTAATAGTCAGCATCTGTCAAAAGAAAAAACTGATCATCCCATTCCACTTGAATATATTCTTCAAATAAGTCTCTAAACCTTTGTTTATTTGTACTAGTTGACTAAAGTGCTAAGCCATAGATTCAAGAATCAAAATGTGTTTGTGCTTCAACAACACTACAATTTAGTTTACTGAGATACCAAATGCAATTTGTAAGTATTAATATGAAAAATTCTTTTCTCACATTTAAAAATACAAAACCCTAAGAATAATTATGAGTTATTTAGAAATCTCCAACTGTCTCAAATTACACAAAGAGCCATAATTAACTTACCCCTGTTTTTAAGTCTACAGAGAACCAATTTGGCACATATACCATTTTAAATCTTTTCTTAATTTCATCTTCAAAATCCACTTTTCCCAGATCTTCAACTTTGCATGCCTATACATTAAAAAATGTTAAGTGATGAATTGATTTGATTCTTACATTACTACTCAAAAATTTACAATTTTTCACATTTATTTAAATGAAATAGACTCCAAAATATAATTTGAAAAGAATGCATCAGTTGTTTTTGAATCTCAAGGCAATTTCCTTTAAATAACTATCTGCTGCTATTAAAATTTTTAATTTAAAAACCCATAAAGTAGGGCTTGGGCTGTGGTTCAGTGGTAGAACACTGAGTTCGATCCTCAGCACCACATAAAAATAAATAAATATATATATATTAAAAAAAAAAAAACCCACAAAATAAGCCAGGTGCAGTGGCGCACACCTGTCATCTCAATGGCTTAGGAGGTTGAGGCAGAAGGATCATGAGTTCAAAGCCAGCCACAGCAAAAAGCAAGGCACTAAGCGACTCAGTGAGACCCTGTTTCTAAGTAAAATACAAAATAGGACTGAGGATGTGAACTTGAGTGCCCCTGAGTTCAATCCCTGGCACAACCTCCTCTCCAAAAAAAGATCCTGAAAATATTCTTTTGTCGTGGTGGGGGAGGTAATTTAATTTTTCTGACACTAATATAACATACCACCACTTATCTGGAAGCAATATCAAATGAAAGTAAAGAAAAGAAATCCAAAATAAGTTACTAAAAGTGCTTTAAAAGAACTTTGAAGTTACCTTCAGAAAACAGCTAACAGAGGCAGTAATTCTGAAGTTTCTCTTTCTTGACCATTACAGTCCTTCCCTATTCCTTCTCTAATTTCTTAAATAGGTATGCTCCCCAAAGCATCCCCTTAACTTCCTCTGTTGCCAAGAGGCATTTCCAGATATAGCTCACTTCAATTCTGAACCATGTTGGAATGTTCCCTTCATCTCTGCCACTCAGCAACAACTTGTTTTTCCCACTTCATCAATCATCTTCTCAGAGGGAGACTCTACTTACTCTCCGCATTCCACTGCTCCCCAGGGCCACACAGAGATCCTTACTTCACCATCGTCATGTAAAACACTACTATTTCTCTGATGCCTATGACATTTAGTTGTAGTCAACTGAAACTTTCCCTTGCTTCATCTAGCACCACCACGGCCAGTCTCATTCACTGGAGACTCGAGCCCTGGCTTGCTGTTCTCCAGGCCATCTCAAGTTCTTGCCTTCATCTTGGCAATATCAACATCTACATGGATAGTGCATATGACATGTTGGCCTCTCAATTCCCTGATCATATTGCCATTATAAATCCACAGTCGCCAACCTTAACTGGATCGTTATTACTACCTGGGATTTTTGTTCTGTTTCCAAAGTCAGTTCTCCATATAAGTTTATCAAATCTCTACTATCACCCTATCTCAGACCTTTCCACTTCCCCCACATCTCTAAGCCCAAATGCCTCTAACTTCTTCTCAAAAAAAGAAGAAGAATCTTGACAAAATTGCCTTTACTTTCTGGTACCATTCTTGTTGGTGCAAAGAAAACAGTGTCCATTCTGGGTGTGCTCTGATTTTCTTCACCTCTCGCTTCTTGGGACCTTATGTGTCTACTGGCTTCTCCCCATGAGTAGTGAAACATGCATTAATTGTTCCATCTTAAAAATTCCCAAACACCAAAAACCCTAAACAAACAAAACATTCCCTTGGCCCTCTTATTCCTAATCCTCTAGCTATTGCCTCTTCTTATATCCCCATTCCCTGCAAACTCAAATTTCTTCGAAGATTATCTCTCCTCAGATTCCCCTTTCTTTATCTACCAATTATTACTGAACCCATTCCATCTGGCTTGGGCTTGCAGGACTTCCCCAAGACTACCGTTTTATTAGTTAAATTAACATGCATGTTAGTGTCCTTATCTTAAATGAACTCTCAGCTGGCTGATGCAACTTGTGGTTACAAGTTCCTTTCTGAAATATTCCATGTTCTCAAGCTGCTATTGGGTCTTCTTATCCCCTTTCATCACACATCTCTGTGCTTCCTTTTCCCAACATTCCTGACAAGAGTGATAACTGAATTATTCTCTTCTCAGTCTAGTCATAGCTCTTGGAAACTCCTGCATTTCCTATGACAGCAGTTGCAATCTACAAGCTGCTAACTGCTGAACTGCTAATCCAGCTCAGTTGTTTAACCTACACATTAGATCGTACAGCTGTCTGCCCACCAGACACTTCCACCCAGCTCTCATATACACTCAAATCCACCCTCTTTCTCAGCATGTCACTCTCTCTCCCCAATCCATTTTCCATCTTATATTCCCAATATCACTTCCACTCACTCAAACTGTTCAATCCGACTCATCCTGCTTCCCCCTTTCCTCCAAACTGCCTCATTCTTTGCATCCCCCTTATTTCCAACAAATACCACCTTTCACCTGTATTAGTGCAACAGTCTCCTAAAGTAGTATATGCAAGGCACCGTAATAAATAAAAAAATTCCTGAACATCCCCTTGACATCATCAAGAAATAGGTAACCTCCACAATTTAGGAATGGAGACCTAGGTTTAGAGAAGTTCAGCATATTCTATAGATCGCTTGGCTAGTAGCTGGCAGAGTCAAGAGTAGAAGGCAGCTCTATTGTTCCTAAACACTCTTAACTTCCCTTCACTGTTTAATGTCAAGCTTACTATACCCAATCATTTGACATCAAAACTCCAAGGTGTAGTATCTGGACGTAGGAAACCATAAGGCACACAGAAATGCCACCATGGTGCATGCTAGCTCAGGTACCCATCTAAGTAGAACTTTCTCCTACTCACATAGCAAGACCCTACTCAGGCATCAGCTAACAAGACCAAGAGTTGGTAATAGACCCATAGGCAGAAAATGGATGGGTCCTCTCAAAGAGCAGCTTGTCTGATCAGATTCTCTTGGGTGTTTGGAAAACAATTAGGTGCTGGGCAGCATGAGGCAAAGTCCAGCCATAAGACAGAACTCAGGCCATGTGGACTAACAAAGAGAGGAATCAAGAAATTCAGCTGATGAGTTTCTTAGGGAAGCCTTGGATCCTCCTAATCACCATGGGACCCCTTTGAAATAAAGATACAGCTCTATCTTTCTGAAAAGCATCTCTCTACCATAGAGAAAACCAGATCAGACCTTTAATGCCTGCCTCAATTAAACTTTCCAGTCAAGTAACTAAGGCCTCTTGTTCAGAAGGCATTTCACCCAGCAACTGTTTCATAATGGACTCCCACATAGCTGCCCCACAGGAAGGAAAAGCAATGGTCAGGCCAAAGATTCTATTCTATTCAGAGGCAAGTTACTTTTTCCCATAGAGAAACCTGCTTATCTTATTCTTTAGATTATGAAGTTAACTTGACTGAATCTCTCATTCATCCTTATTGACAAAGAGCTTAACCAAAACATTAGGTCTTTTCAATTCTTCCTTTACAATATACACAAAACCTGTCTCCCCTTAGATTCTAAAATCATATGCTTAAGACAACCATCTTCTGGCTGACAGTTTCCTATTACATACACAACTACTACTCTGAACTTGGTATTTTCTTGCTCTAAAATTATCTAGATTCTTTAGGGAGTACCAGAGAAAGGTCAACTCCAGGACCTGCAACTTAAGACTCTTTGGGAAATGACTTAAGTGTCACATTTTATCCTTATACCTCCACCACTCCCTTATAAACAAAACTGTTTATCTTGATTTAAATAAAGCATGTGCCTTCCCTAACCAATACCTCTGTCATTTCCTCCACTTCTTGAAATTCCCTACCTCCATAAGCCATCTTCAGGACATCTTTAAGCCCTTGTTCAAATGCTTTCCCCACCATGATGCTCTGCTGACTTATCCAGCTGTAACTGCCTTGTTCATAGGCTATTGTATAATCTGTTTATTCTTTAAGGTGTTCACATTTCATTTCTTTAGTCCCTCCTACCCTTTTCCATCATTTATGGCCCTCAAACATAATTGTTTACCCACTGTATTCACTCAATCCAGGAAATATCTGTTGAACAAATATACCAAGAACCCTAAGAAGGGACACTTGGCAGAATTTTCAAAGGAAATCAATTTCAATCTGTCTACCAATTCTTCAGTGCTGTTTAGAATGTGGGTGAACAGCTTAATGCACTTCAACTATCCCAAAGGATGAGGACAATGTGACCCAGGATTGCAACTGCCACCCACAATAATGGTTATAAATCTAAAGAAAGAGTCAAACTTACTTTGAGCACCCCAGTGGGTGTTAACCTGAGGTTATTTTGTATCCTTCTTCCTCCTTCTCTCCAAACATCTCTCCAAACATTTGGTAATATCTGGAGATAAGTTTGGCTGTCACAACTTGAATGGGGTAGAAATACTGGCATTTAGTGGGCAGAGGCTAGGGATACTGCTAAACCTTCTGCAGTTCACAGGACAGCTTTCTCTCACACCAAGGAACTGTCCAGCCAAACAAATCAACAGTGTAAACAATGAAAAACTTCACATGTGTTCATTTTTAGGTAAGACAGCATGAATACTAACACACTAATCAGAGAAAATGGTTCTTTTCAAATAATTTAGGTGCTTAAAAAGATAAACTATCACCTTATCTAATACAAACATATTAAGAATCCAATCCTAAATAATTTTATCTTAATTATCATGTATGTAAAAGGAAATATAAAGGGGGAACATGAAACAACAAGCTATATTTAATCCAAAAAAGATACTTACCTTCAATACATCCCAATATGCCACATTATTATTGGTATCTTTGGTTAATATATGTCTCTTATCATTAAGAATGTGGCACTGAATAATACTTGCACCCCCTAAAGGGGAAAAAAAACACAATTAGCGAGACAATCCTTTCATATTTAAATTCACACTATGGCACTAATTATTAATTGGCATATAATAGAAACATTAACCGTATGAGCTATCAAAAAGGAGAAGTCAAGTCTGAAGATTATATAATATACCCAAGGTACTTTAAGGTCAATCAATTACTTATGTTTCATTATTTGAATTTATAAACAAAGAAAAAAATTGTCTGATTTAATAATAGAATACAGATTAAAGAGCTCTTCACTTCACGGGGCTATTTACTACCAGTGTAGAATTTTGAGAGCCAACAGTTTTATTCACAAGTAAAGTTCAAATAATGAGAGGTCATCTCTGAATTGGTCCCCATCTCCTTCTCTCTTTCACTTCCTGCAGGGATACCCTACTCTAAAGGCAGAAGCTCAAACATCTAGAAACAAAAGAGAAATGTGTTGCCTAGGATTCTAATCCCAAGCTCTAACACATTAAACATATTTTGCTTTTTGCCACAACTAGATGAAGTATGTAGAATTTGAGGGCTACATATGTCTTTTCTGACTTGTGCCAAAAGAAAACATTAAACCCTATACACTTTACAAAGAGGCTTCTGTTTTACCCGAGCTATTCTGCTGCTGGACCTAAAAATTAACTCAAGAATAGTGCTGCCATAAACATGGGCATTCAGGTTATCTCTCTGGTATACTGTAGATGTACACACACACACACACACACACATATACAATGGAATATCATTCAGTCATAAAGAATGAAATTCTATTATTTGCAGCAAAATTAATGGAACTGGAGGACGTTAGGGTAAATGAAGTAATTCAGACACAGGTACAAGTATTTCATGTTCTCTCTTACATATGGAAGTTAAAAAAAAAAAAAAAGGTGACCCCAAATATAAAATAGTGATTACTAGAGGCTGGGAAGGGGCAAATGATAGTGGATAAAGGGAAGCTGGATTTGATTAGTGCTTGCTGTATTCATGTATTACCACACTAAGCCCCATTAATATGTACTATTAATACATGTTAATAAATTCAAAACACCCATTTTTAGTCACTACGTAGCATTTTTAAAAATAACTCAAAAATAAACCCATACATTAATAGTCTTTTGTGTTCATCAAAATTAAATTTATAGAAAGATCATTACCAGATGAGATCGGGCGCATTCAGGGTGGTATGGTTGTAATGTTTTGAACAACCAATTAAAAAAAAAACAAAAAAACAAAAAACTTGAGATCCTCCTGCCTCAGCTTTCCAAGTAACTGAGATTACAAGCATGTGCCACTATGCCCCACATATGTCTTTTTTTATTATATCTATTCTAGGAGATATGAAATAATATTTCACTGTGGATTGGATTTGCATTTCCCTAATGATGTTGAGCATCTTTTCATGTGCTTATTGGCCATATGTTTCTTCTTTGGAGAAATGTCTGTATAAATTCTTGGCTCATTTAAAAAAAAAAAAAAAAAAGAAAGATCATTACCTTTGTTCTTGTCAACTTTTAGTAACTATCATTAACTTCAATAAAAAGTATAATACCTTTCAGTTTCCTACTCACCTTTAATAACCTGGTCAGGCTGTGTACAAAGGGGAGTTATAGGATTTGTACAGTCGTTGTCATAATCTCCTGAGGCTCTAAAATTATGAATTCCCTTCAACGTCTAAAGGAACAAAATTTGTTGTTTAATCATTTTCTGTTTTACATGCTTTGCCAGTCTAAGAAAAATAAATCTAAAGAACAATCAAATTAGAAAACTTCAACAACTAGAACAGCTACCAAAAAATATTTAGTCACAGTACCATTATTAAAAAATAAATATTAAAGAGGGAATATCATCTTATCGGAGAAAAAACTAGGCATGAAAGCAGGAATACTCTTCCAGGTAAAATTATGTTGATTACAAATTGGTACAAGGAAAGTTAGACAAGATAAATAACAATTTTTATAAGTATTCTGAAAGGGAATTTGACCTGAATATAAACAGGAATAAACACAAACAACCTTTCCTTTGTAATCTCCAAATAGTCTGGTATGTAAGAAAACTTAAATCTTCTTTAAGATTTCAAAATAACAGTACTTTAGATGACTTCTATCCCTGTTATTCTATTTTTATACCTGTTCTTCATGCTAAGAAGAAAAAGGACATAAATGTGAAAGCACAATTTTATGCTTTCTCTTAAGATGTAGAAAGATAAGAATCTTGATTAGGATCTGCCTTGCTGGTACCTGGATGGCCTATTTTCCAATGCAGCTTTATGAGGCTGGAAGCTGGCTTTATCAGGCAACAGAGCCTGTTCTAAGCACATCAGACATTTATGCTGGCTCATGACAAGGGTATCATGGTTTTGATTAGACTACTAACTTTAGAATGACCCTCAGGATCACACCTACATTCATAAGGGCTTTCAGGTTTTTGCCGCTACTCAGAGACATACTAAAAGTCAGGTTCATACTAAGCACTTGCTACTGGTATCTAGAAGGTCCATGTTAATAAACCAGATATTTGCAAACCTTTGCTAGGAATTCAGTGGCTCACTTACCCATTTATTTACTGTAGACTTAGTTGTTGCAACCCAGATTGCAGGAGGGGGATCAGCTGATCTATCAAGCTCCATCTGAAAACAAGGCACAAAAATATTGCTTCAAGGAAAGTCGACTGTCATGAACTGCCAGGCTCAGCTAACACATTATTAAATATCAACTCATTTGTTCTAACAATTGGAAGTTCACTACATACGGGACATATTAAAAGCTCAGATGACCAGAATAAGGAGTCTCTTTGCTAAAGGAATTCATAGTCCTATAAAAGTGTAGTAGGATGAACTTCTCAGGAAAACAGTGGCTGAAAGAATTTTTTTTTTTAGGTTTATTTCTAAGTATTTTATTCTTTTGGCACAATTGTAAATGGATTTGTTTTCAGAATTTCCTTTTCAGATTGTTCACTGTTACTGTATAGATACTCAACTGATTTTTTTGCATTGATTTTTTTCCTGGGGGTGGTGGTGGGTAACAGGGATTGAACTCAGGGGCATTTGACTACTGAGCCACATCCCCAGCCCTACTTTGTATTTTTTATTGAGAGACAGGGTCTCACTGAGTTGCTTAGTGCCTTGCCATTGCTGAGGCTGACTTTGAACTTGTGATCCTCCTGTCTCAGGTCCCAAGCCACTGGGATTACAGGCATGCGCCACCATGCCCAGCTTATGCATTGATTTTATATCCTGTGACTTTGCTCCACTTATTAGTCCTAATGATTTTTTCTTTTTGTTTTGGTGATAGAATCTTTAGGGTTTTCAACATATTAGATGCTATCATCTGTGAAGAGAGATAATTTTACTTCTCCCTTTCTAATATAGATGCCTATCATCTCTTTTTTTTTCAATTTATTTATTTTGGTTATACATGACAGTATAATATATTCTGAAAAATCATATATATATAGAATATAATTTATTCTAATTAGGAATGAAAGTTTTAAGTGTGGTTAATTTGAGGGACCTAAATGGATATAGTCGAAAGAATGAAGATGTTTTATAATTTTGTTTTTGCTACTTTAGTTTTTATGTTCTTCCTTTTTTTGTGTGTGTGTGTGTGGTACTGGTACTGGGGATTGAACCCAGGGTCTTGTGCATACAAGGTAAGCACTCTACCGATTGAGCTTTATCCCCAGCCCTTATGCTCTTTCTTAATAACAAGGAAATATATTTCTTTTTTCTTTGAAAATATAATTAAAAAAAACATAGTAAGAACACAGCAAAAGTGAAGAGTACCCTCACTTAAGAATGGAACATCAGGAATAGATTACCATATATACTTCTGTATTTTTAAAATGCTGCACACATATAAATAACCTTATATGCATGTATGTATATTACATAAGTGCAATCACTTTACATTTATCCACTATTCTTCCAATACTAGAAAGTATAGGTCGGGAGCAGTGGAAACAGGGCTGGTAGCCAGGAATCCATCTTAGTTCAAAGTAATGCTCTTTAAAATATATGGTTATGTTTGTCCCAAATTCTTTTAGTCTCTTCTTCATGGTCAAGAGATTCTGGCAGAGTATTTCTCTTCCAGGCTTGTCTCTATCCATCAATTTGCTGCCTGTCCACATGCTATGTATTATTACCAGTTCAGACTCAACTCTTTGCTTCTATAAAGGATTACTGGTCCATTACAGTTACCATCTACTTTGGGTCCCCTTTTGCTCATATCACAGATCCTGATTATCAGAACTGCTCTGTGGAGTACGAAGAAGCCTGCTCTCTCTTCTTCTTCAGGAATACTTTGTCTACCTCCTTACTCCTAAGACTGTGGACACATTTCCCAGACCTCCCCTATTTTATTGTCTGCTCACAGTAACCTTAACTGCTCACACTCCACCTAAGGACAGGTCAGACAGTCAGAACAGTCAGGAAGTAAGGGATAACCACACTAGAATTCACCAGTGGGAGGGCTGTGCATCACTGACAAACCTGAGAAGTCACAGGTAACTTACAAAACTGTTCCAGCACTAACATGCCACCCGCCCAGGAATCTATACAACACTCTTCCATCCAAACAGGTGCCTACTCTTCTTTGCCCTGTCAAGTTCTACCTATGATAAAAGATCTTTTGTTCAATCCCACAGTTGATTCATGTTTTAACACAGACTTTGGTATATTTGGCTGATAAGTTCAACAACCTTAATTGTAAAACTATAATATATGACATACCTTGAGTACTGGTGCTTTTTCTTCACAAATTAGCACTCGAATATCAGGGTTTCTTAAGTCAGTACAATAAATCTTCCTGTCCCTTCCTCCAGAATATACATGTGTGAAGGCATCATTGACCTGCAGAGCCCAAACACCTTCATCATGGACTCGGTATGTTGCTATACATCTCTGTTGGCCAAGAGACCAAAGACGAATTGTTCCATCAGAACTACCAGAGAGGCACTGCAAACAAATAAAAGAAAGGTGAGACATAACTAAGAAGCTCTTGCTTTCCTGTACCTTGTGTATGGTTTTCTACTGACTCTACATAGTCAAGTGCACATATTTAGTAACTTGCATTTCTCTCTGATAAAGGCTTCTGACAGGCATCTACTAGTCTGAAATGACCAAAGGCCAACAGTGCATGGTCAAGGAAGGGATACTCTCAGCAAAACTGCCTTTGTTCTCTCTACCTGGCCATCTGTTGATTACCTGTAAATCCTACAGGTGAGTCCTGTTCTGAAGCTCTATTACTAAGGGAGGAAGATGGTTTTTGTTTGTTTTGAGATAAGGTTTTGCTAAGTTGCCCAGGCTGGACTTGAACTTGCCAAACCCCTGCCCCAGTCTCCTAAATAGCATGGGTTATAGGTGTACAACACCACATCCAGCAGGGAGATGGATTTTAAAAACAGCTGAAGATAAATGGCAGTGGTCTGAGCAGCATCAGTCTCCCTGGCAACTTGTTAAAAATGTAAATTCTTTATTTTGACATAATTATATAAAAGCATGCAATATAATTTGTTCTAATTCAGTCCTCAGTACATTCCTCTTCTCTCCCTTTCTCCCACCCTGTCTGTTCCCTTCCCTCTACCCTATTGATCTTTCTGCTATTTACTTATAGTTATTATTATTTTTTTTAAATTAGGGTCTTGTGGATGGTGATAATAGTGAGATTCGCTGTGAAATACTCATGTATGTACATAGGGAAGTTAGGTCAGATTCATCCCACTGTCTTTCCCTAACCCATACCTCCTCCCTTTCCTTCATTCCACTTTATCTACTTCACTAATATATAAAAAGAACAATAAAAAAGGGGTGCAGCTGGGATTGTGGCTCAGAGGTGGAGTGCTTACCTAGCATGTGTGAGGCACTGGGTTCAACCCTCAGCACCACATAAAAAATAAAGATATTGTGTCCACCTATAACTAAAAAATAAATATTTTTAAAAAAGAAGAAAAAAGATTGAACAGATCTCTTAAGAGTTCTGTACAATCTTTTAAGTTCCTTCTCTAGCCTTGAGCTTTGAATGCAAAAAAAAAAAAAAAAAAGTAAATTCTTGAGTCCCATCCAGACCTAATGAGGAACAGTAGGGTTTAACAGACTATACAGGTAATTCCAATGTACCCTAAGCTTGACAAACACTGCATTAGGCCAGCATGCCTTTTGGAGTCCTGGAGCCACATCTTATTCCTTCTCTCATGGCTCCAGATTCTTAACATCCAGTAGAAGCAAGATCTAGTTCCAGGCTTATCACTCACTCTCTGTGACCTTGGACACTTTCCATATGAGCCAAGTGAATTAACATTAGTAATTCTAACAATTTCTGAAAGTTCAGAAGAGTCAACGACATAGAGGTTGGTAGCACACAAATTAGGGCCAAGCACACTGTGAGTCTAACAGAAACAGGCAGAATTAGCCACCCCACATTCACATTCAGCATGCTTAGTGTTCTGGACCAGTTACCGTGGAGACTTGCAAAGAGGATAAAAACTTCATTTCCTTGGGAAAAAGAATGGCCCTAAGGAGCAAGCAACTCCTGTTGCTGGAGTATGAAATTAAGTAAGAAAAGAGCTTCAAAGAAAAGATAATTAGGGCCTTCATGATTTAGAAGGTGCTTGAATAGATGAGGTTTTAGGGAATGTTAAAGATTTACTGGCCTGACTTGTAACTTTAGCACTCTGGGCAAGCTTAATTAAATGAATATACTAGGAGAATCCACAAATTGCTAAGGAGTATCAGAGTTCTCTCCTACTTTAACTACTTTACAAGGGAACTGAGAAACTAACCAACAAACTGTCAGGGGAAAGTTTACGAGCAGACCTTCAACCTGTGTGTGGGAGAACTGTGGCATTCTATGGGATGGGAGCCAAAGAGGGGCTCCCCATTCCAGGAGAAAGTGCTGCTCTGAGGCAGCAATGCAATCAGTAAAGCTTTGATCCCTCAGACCTTTGATCCTAGACTACACATCTACAGAAAGTAAAGTCTAACAACTCAGAGAGGCAAAGAAAGACAAACGAGATGGCTTAAAGTCCTGGTGCCTCAGCAATTTGCAACAGAAAAGTGATATGGTCCAAACCCTGAGTGTGCAGCTGGAAGCAGAAGAGAAAACACAAGAGTTCTATCAATCCTGGTAGAAAACACAAAATAATTTCTGATGGTCATAAGTATTCTAAGACAAAAAAGAGAAGGCTCCCTGAGAGCAACCACTTTTTCTTCTTTTTTATTGGGGGCAGGGTGGGGAGTACTGGAGATTGAACCCATGGATGCGCAACCACTGAGATGCATCTCCAGCACTTTTCATTTTATTTTGAGATAGGGTCTCATTGGGTTGCCCTGGCAGGTCTTGAACTCGCAATCCTCCTACCTCAGCCTCCCAGAGCGAGCGACCAGGATTACAAAAAACAACTTTTAATCCAGAACCATGCTGTTTTAGTTACATGGTTCCGTGGTATATAACTTAAAACTAGGTATCATGATGTCTCTAGCATTGTTTTATCCTTGGAATTGCTTTGGCCATTCTGGGTATTTTATTCTCTATATGATTTGTTTTCCTAATTTCTTTTTCAGCAGACTCACTACTGGTATACAGAAAAGTTACTGATTTTTGTATGCTAATTTTATGTCCTGCTACTTTGCTGAACTTATTAATTTTAGGAGTCTCTGGTGAAGCTTTTCGGATCTTTTAGATATAAGACTGTCATCAACAGGCAGAGATAATATGACTTCTTCTTTTATTTGTATCCATTATCCTCGTACCTTGCCTAATTGCTCTGGCTAAAATTTCAAGTACTATGTTAAATAGGAGTGAGGAGACTGGACATCTTTGTCCAGTTCCTGAAGAGGAAATGCTTTTAGTTTTCCCCATTCACTTTGATGTTGAGTTTGTCATATACACCCTTTACAATGTAGAGGTAAGTTACTTCTATCCCTAGTTTCTTCACTGTTTTTATCATGAACAGGTACTGAATTCTGTCTTTTTTGTTCATCTATTGAGATAATCATGTGATATTTATCTTTGATTCTACTTATGTGATGTTACATTTATTGATTTGCTATATCGAACCATCTTTGCATCCCTGAAATAAAACCAACTTCATGATGTACAAGCTTCTTAATGTGTTGTTGAATAGCATTTGCTAACATTTTATTAAGGATTTCTGCATTTATATTCATCAAGAATATTGGTCTGGCTGAGCATGGTGGCACATGCTTGTAATCCCAGAAGCTTGGGAGGCTGAGACAAGAGGACTGTGAGTTCAAAGCCAGTCTCAGCAAAAGCAAGGCACTAAGCAACTGAATGAGACCGTGTCTCTAAATAAAATGCAAAATAGGGCTGGGGATGTGGCTCAATGTAGAGTGCCCAGGTTTATCCCCAGTTACCCATAACCCCCAAAAGAATATTGGTCTGTAGTTTTCTTTCCTTGATATGTCTTTATCTGATTTAGGTCTCAAGATGATACTGGCTTCATAGAATGCATTTGGAAGTGTTCCCCACTCCTTTCTATTTCATGGAATAATTTGAGGAGCAATGGCAATAGAACTTCTTTAAAAGTCTGGGAGAATTCAGCTTAGAGTCCATTACTGGTTGGAAAGCTTTCTATTACTGCTTCAGTCTCAATGCTTGTCACTTGTCTGTTTAGGTTTTCTATATCCTGTGGTTCTATTTTGGTAGGTCACTTTTGTCTAGAAATTTGTCCACTGTTGGATTTTCTAATTTATTGGAGTGTAAATTTTCAAAGTAGTCCCTAATGATGATCTGGATTTCAGTATATCTGGAAGTCATCTCTGATTTTATTAATTTGGGTCTTCTTTCTTTCTTTTGGTTTGCTTGGTTAAGTATTTATCAATCTTTATCTTTTCAAGAACCAACTTGTCAATATATTGATCCTTTGTATTATTTTTTTTTACTCTCTGTTTCATCTCTAATCTTTAATTCAGATTTCTAATTTGCAAAGTATGTAGCCAACAGAGCTAATGTTCCATTACTAATGTGTTTTTCTTTAAAATGTTAACTCTAAACATTGTTAGAAAATTAAATTTACAGACTACATAGTCAATTGATGAAATCTGCCCGAGTCAGACTATTGTGAGGTTTCCTACTTTATATAATGGTATAAAACATTCAATACCAAACCTTCCTTCTGCTTTATGCAGGTAACATTTTTTAGCTATTTTAGCTTGTATGCACCATAATTATATACACTTGTCGGCAGTAGATCTTTTCTAAAGAAATTCTTGTTTTGCCTTTATTAAAAGTGATTCCAAATAGAAGAGTTTTAAATGAAGATTATTATATGTGCAATAAAGAACTTTAAAAATTAGGCCACAATTTATGTGTGGATTTTGGTTCAAATCAACCTATGCAATAGTATAGAAAGCAGGGAAATTTCTAACAAGGTCATTAGTAAGGAGAAACTACATACCTGTGTGCCATCTCTGTTCAACAGCAATGCTTTTACATTGTCTGTGTGCCCTTTAAGCTTCATTAGTTTTGCACATGTTCTTGGATCCCATACCCTTAAAACCTGTGAATTTTAAGAGAATATTACACAAATTGAGTATGTACATAATCAAATTTAAATAATTGATGACTTTTAAAATATGACCTTTAAATTCTGAGAAGGAAATACTGCTTTAGCCAATAATTGCTAAGGCTCTTAACCTTAGGAAAGACTTTCTTATGTCAGAAATTACACAACCTCCCCACCCACTTTACCACGTACATAGTAGTCATACAGTTATATACTCATTTATTCAAATAACACCTTTCTTTTAGTATCCTCAAGGCAAAAACCACTAACCAAATATTTAATAATTACATAGATCAGAATATTTTGATTTGTTTTCTTATGTTCAAACATACTCTTTAAGCTCCCCTTACCTTCTCTGTGGACCCTGATACAATGATTGTTCCCAGTTGATTCATGGCAAGGCTATAAATGGAATCTTTGTTCCCACTTAAAGAAGAAGCTATTGAGGACAAATGGAATTAAATGTTAACAAAAAATCATCAGCTGTTTAGTTATTAGTCAGCAAAATTATAAGTCTGATTATTCAGTTTAGAGAATCTTATCTTTATGAGTACTTTAAGGAAAAGAAATCTACCAACAATGGAGATAATTCTAAACCATATAGTATTATTATCAAAGTTCATATCTTTCCCAGATTTGAATGTACATAAGTGCTCAATTAGCACTCAATAAATATTTAGCTCAATAAATATTGGCTAAATTGAATTGCACTATTATTTAAAAACCATCCACATAGATAATGCATTTTCAAAGATATACACGTGCCAGTATATGGAAAAAATGCCCAAACTCACTATTATTCAAGGAAATGCAAATCAAAACAAAATACCATTTTCATATACCAATTCAGACAAAAAACAAAGGTAGTGCTTAATGGCAAGAATCATGTTAAATGCCCTTTGATCCAGAACTCAATAATACCAAAGTGAAAACAGCTGCATATAAAATTATCTATACAGTATGATCATAATCCTTCAATAAATAAACATACTGAGAAGTGATCAGTAATGGAGTTAGTACATGTGAAGTGTTTAGAAAAATGCCTACTTGTAAGTATTCAATAAATGTTAACTAGTGTTAGTATTATTTCTATAATCTTAAAAAAACTTGTGATATCATCTCTATAGAGTTCTAAGCAAGACATATCAACAATAGCAGAAGCTGTATCCACTAAGCCTAGTCTCTGACCTAGTAACAATCTTCTTTCTATTGCTTTGTTCCCTCCTCTTTAGTGTCTCTTTGAGGAAGGCCTCACATACGGATAGAGCCCAATGACAGGACAGCCCCCAGCAGGGACTAGCTGCTCAATCACTGAGAAGGTATACAGATGAAAAAAATCAAGGGTAATAAGAGAAACATAGAGTTTATATATTTCCTGGTTGGTAAAACGATATTCAAGGAATTATATGTACCAATCTCCCAACTTGCCCTTCTTGGCACATACTAGGTTACATTAGAACAATTTTGGCTAAGTCACTGTGAGCACTCCACTGATTCATGACAAGTTGGACCTGTAATATGGAGTTCCGGATAGTCCAAGTCCATGTCTTGAACATAGTTCTTCCAGTCCAAGCTATGTTAAAAATGTGCTCCTACAAGTCCCCTCTGACATCTGCCCTAGAGGACTCTAGGAGGTTGGGTCAAGTGTGATGTTGAATTTCAAATCCAGATTTGCATAAGTCTAAGGTGACAGCCTGAGATCTATTATTTGATTAAATTGCGGCACTATTAAACTGTTGTGAATATCTCTGAATTACCTCTAAAACAATCCTATCCTCCCTGGGCTCTTCTGAAATAGGCTAGATTCTTTAGGGCTACTTGGTCTTCTCGACTGGCACTGGAAACATTTTTTTTTTTCTTTTCTGTTTCTTTCCCCCTGTACTTTCCATTTTGGCCATTAACTCAAAAGCTCTTAATATATGGTAATACTTTTAAATCAGAAAACTGACTATTTTGTCAGGAAATCACCATCTCCTTCAAAAATACCTGTGGGTCTAAGCCAGGCAATCCTGTGGGATACAAAGTAGTGATAAGACAGATTTTTCTACCCCGCAGGGACTTATACTTTAGCTAGGGAGCTAAGACATGCACATGTACAAAAAATAACCAGGTTACACCTGGAGAAGTTACCATGTTTAGATTGCAGTGAGGAACTATCTCCTTGTTGCTCAATCATACTCTTGGGGGCTAGAACGCTGTAGGTAGAAGCACTCTCAAAATATGAACCACTGTCTCGATGCAAACCTATCAAAGATGTTTTATAAACCATTCTTTATTTATGTCAACTCAGATCACTTTCAAAGAAATTTTTTTCAAACACCTTACTTGTGACAGTGTTATTTGAGGCAGTCAATGCTGTTAGAGTATTCACATCCCAAAGGAATATTTGTCTGTCCAACCCAGCTGATGCTACCAGTTCCTTATCCTTGGCATATGCTAATGCCTTTACATAATCCTGTAACAGAACAGACATACTATGATCTACTCTGTAGATCAATTAAAAAATGAGCCAAAGTGCTAAGATTTCAATATTACACTGAAGATACTGAGAACTGTTAGCTGTTTTACCTTATGCGTTCTTAATGTTGACATGCAAAATCCCTTATGTGCGTTCCATACTTTTACTGTCGTGTCAGAAGACGCAGATATTACTAGAAGAGCCAAAGAATTAGCAAAACCCTTAGTAGTATGATTTATAATAACTTTAAAACTTATCTTAAAACAAAGTAACATTATTTCAAACTAATGTTCACACTCATATACTCTTCAAAGATCTCTCTAGAACCTATTAGATATTGTTACATACACATCCAAATTTTTAATAGGGCAAACTTTCCTAATGTTCCAGGTGAACACCCAACTAATTCGACAGAGAAAAATTTCTCTCAGACTGCAAAACCAAGAAATGGATCCTACCAAAATAAAAACCAAAAGAAGTATCAAAAAGACTAAAAGGGAAAAAAAACCGTGTGTATTGTATGAATCTACTGCTATACAGCTCAGATGCAAGTAAAACTAATGTATGGTGTTCAGAAGACAGGAGAGAGTTTACCTTGGGGCAAGACACAATGACTGAAAGGGTGACACAAACAGGCTTCCTGGCAATTTTCTGTTTCTTGAATTATATTAAGTTGTAATCTCAAGGTATGTATACTTTTTTGTATGTATTTTAGACTTTAATAAAATAGTTTATATAAAAATATATCAAATTGAATTAAAAACTTTTGAAAGCTCAATAATCCAAAGAAATACTTACATGTTTTCCCATTACAACAGAGTACAATGTCGTTTACCCAATCAGTATGGTGTTCCATAGATGCTATATATGGATCTTGCTGAATTAAAAGAAAAATTGTAAGAGTTTATATTAGAGAATGAAATAATTAAAAATTCTAGATCTGTTCAGATTTTTCAATTAATGTAACACTGCTCTAAGGTCTTCAAACTGACAACTGAATTCAGAATAAAATTTTACAAACAGGCGATGCTTTCAGAAACAGATGAAAACACTTTTGTTTTAGGACATTAACCAGTAACAAAAGGTACATTTCCAGCATAAATACTTAATTGTTATGCCTTATGATGGTGAAGGCCATGCTCTGGGCTAGGCACTGTGCGTGATGCAAAGTGTTGCAGGAAGGGGTTTGCTTCTGCAGGCTGGGGAAATCTTAACTCTGGTGGTGAAGGCTCACAGCAGTCAGCAGGGACAGAATGAGTGTGAGGAGCATGGTGAGGAGTCTGGTCTTCTGGCAAAGGGAGACAAACACTTCTGCTTTCTGCTTTCTCCTCCTGCTGTTTTTATCTTTTGAGTTTTAAATGTTTTCTACAGTCCTTCACAGAAGAAAGACTGAGCAAGTTCATGTCACCATTCCAGTTCAGTAACTGGAGACTCTCTTGTTCCCCTCATCTGGCTTAATTACCAGGAGTGGACTTCTAAAGACCAGTATTTAGTTACATCCTATACCCAAAACAGGCAACTTTGAGACATTTCATGGGCAAAACCAAAACAAAACAACAACAACAAAAACCCCACTCTCTTCATATATGAAAAAATGTCATAAAAGGATGACTAGAAAAAGATGTTTGAGGGCAAGTCAAGAGGATTTCCAGATTATTCCACATTAGTTTTCCTTACTTTGTTTGAAATACTGTGAATTCCCAGAAAGGAGACATCTCAATTTAAATATAAGTGCATTTAAAAGCTAAACATAAATAGTTTTCTGACTTTTGACACAGGGTCACCACTGCTTCCACTGGCTAAAGAATTCAGAGCCTGCTGGACTGAAGTCCATTTAGAGAGACCTCATCTAGCAACTCTACTAAGTAGTAGATCTTTTTCAACACTGAATATCAGACTTGTAGAGCTTGCGAAAGATACAGACTTTTAAAAATACGAGGTCTAGAATCAGGGTTTTGAAGTAAGGCTGGGTTCTCATTCTCTGCCACTTACTAGCCATTTAACCATGGCTTTTTCTGACACTGTTTTCTCACCTATAAAGATGAATCCTAAGAGCTGACATGAGAGATTGCTGTGAGAATTAAAATCATGGTAGATATAAGTGCCAAGAGTGTCTGGCACATAGTTAAGAACTCAGGAAATGTTCCTTTTCCTTCCTTGATCTTCTTTTCTATGTCATTCACAATACGGATATTTAAATAAAATACCAAAAGAGTTCCATCCTGTTTGATGTGGGATTTATTTTTCCATATATTTAAATTCTGTTCCCTGTTTAAGAAAGCAGACTTTAAAACTCCTGAAGGAGTTTTAAACTATGCTGTCCTCATAGTTTCATACCAACCTTATATAATGTAATAGGGCGCTGCAGGTTTTGTGGGAACCCTGTTCACTTCAAATGAAGAAAATCAAATATTTGTTCAAAATTGCTTATAAATAATGTGAAAGCATACCTAATCCTTTCTTTTTAATTTTTTTAAAAAGTATGGTTGCAAGGAGACTTTTGGGGGTCATATTCTAAAGCAGAAAAACCGCTGAAAGTAATCACTCCCTATCAGTCAATATCACTGGTCCTTTGTGGTAAAGAGCTCTTAAAGAAAACCTGGTTTATGGAGTCCTTGCCTTAGCTAAAACACTTGTGAAATTCTTGTGGGGGTAATTTTTCTCAGAGGCTTACAGAATTCTGGTTTCAATGTCTTAATATAGAGTATACTAAAAAACTCAGTGCTTAGAGATTAAATCAGAAACTGAAAAAGGCATCACATAAGACAGGGAAAAGCAACCAAAATTTACAAATTTATAGATTTTTAAATGTAAACTTAATCTTTGCCTTACCTTGTGCTGATTGACACTCCATATTCTTATGATGGAGTCTCGCCCAGCTGTGAAAAGTCTATTTAGTGCTGGATCCAACTGTAGGGCATTGACTCCATTCCGATTGTACTTCTCTACTTCATCCCGAATAACATAGGAAACCTGATAAATACATCAACAGATGCTTTTTATGATGTTATAAGCCATGCAATAAAAAGATGTAGTCTACAAGTAGTCAATTAATAATAAAACTTTTTTTCAAGCCAATAAAATTTTTATTTTTATTTTACTCTAAAGATTAAAGGGCTAAAAAGAGAAGTTAACCTAGACCAAGATGATTAAGTTTGCCCTAAACTACTGCTTCCTAATTGGACTCTCCTTCTACTCCTTTGCCTTTAATTCATTTTCACAAAGCAGATAGGGTAATCTTTTGGAAATGTAAATTGGAATGCAACCCATCTCAGTTCAAAAACCATCCAGCTGCTTACTGCTGAACTCGTGATTTGATGTAAATCCTTACCATAGCCTCAAGAGCCTTGTTCGCCTTTCCTGCTCTCATTTTTGTTCTAGGTCCTTGTGCACACAAGGCCTCCAGACTACTGCACATGCTGGCCCCATTTGGAAGTTCTCCCTCCTACTTGTCAGGCTATCTCCTATTACAGTCTTCGGGTTTCTCTTTAAATGACATGCTTCCTCAAAAAAGCCTTTCATAATTTGACAAGCAGAATGCCACCTCAAGTTCTGAGTTCCTATAATAAACTCAACTTTTCCTTCAGGATACTTTTTTCTACTTCATTTTCCCTTGATGACCTCTATTTCTTGGGAAAACATGTGAGAATCAACCCAAAAGAATTATAACTAAGAAAAAGTCAATACACTGACTGGTAGTCCAAAGCAAAACTCTTCCAATGTAATAAGATAACTATTTCAAAATACAAAGGCAGGGGGAGGGAGAGACCTAATTATAAAAGCAACAAGATAAATACCTATAAATACATTTTTTAAAAAATATTTATTTTTTAGTCATAGTTGGACACAATACCTTTATTTCACTTATTTATTTTTTATGTGGTGCTGAGTATCGAACCCAGGGTCTCGCATGTGCGAGGCAAGCGCTCTACTGCTCAGCCACAACCCCAGCCCCCTAGAAATACATTTTACAAGAAAACACATAACTGATAGGAAATGGTACAAAAGAGAAAAATCAAATAGAGAAAACATGTAATACTACAGAACAGAAAGATTCAAAATTGGCAATTCATGCCTAAATTTGTAAATTTAACCCAACGTTGGTTAGAATAGTATTAAATTCTTTCTAGAAGTGCTCTAACACTGAGCCACAACACCAGTTCTTACTTTAAAGATCTTAAAAGGTATTATAAAGCTACTGGAATTACAATAGTGTACCATAATTGGAATATATAACAGGATAAATGAATAAAAAAATTTGGAATAATTTTCTATCATAAATTTTCTATTTTGATATAAACATAGTGTTTCAAATCAAGGAGGACATAATTAATTTAACAATTTATTTTAAGAGTGCATGAGTCTTTTGGGGGGAAATTATGTATTCCTTTTCCATATCTTAAACCAAAAATTCATTTTTTTGAATTTACCATTTTCACTAAAATGCATTTTTTTATATTAAACAAAAAGTTGAAATTTAATAACATAGTCATTCAAGTAATTTTAAAGGCAGGTGAATATTTACATAGTCTGTAGATATAGAAGGCTCTTCCAACATGAAAAGATGTTAATTATTTGACTAAATACAAGTCAAACCTTTTGTAAGTATAAGAATGTTTAAAGCAGTATTCACAATGGCCAAAAAGTGAAAACAACCCAAGTGACCATTAATTGACAAATGGATAAACAAAATGGAATTCATCCTTCGGAAGGGCTAAGATTGCATACCCAAATAATTACTAAGATATTTTCTTAACTTGGTCTTTTGGAAACAAGCAACTGCAACTGAAATCTACTCAAATTCTTGATAATTTAACATCAACAACAACAAAAAGACACAAATGTAAGTCATTATTTTCTCATTTTTTAGAAAATTTAACATAAGAATACAAGGATATCTAACAGAACTGAAAGGCAGAAAATACAGCCATCACTGGAGGCATTTTTAAAATAAAATCGTAGCACTTCTCTGTTGAAACCTTTTAACAATTTTCCACAGATTTAAAGTCCAAACTCCTTCAATGCTTTGGTTCTAACCCTGCATCCCTTATACTCACCTCAGACTAACCTCTCAGTTTCTTTCACGTTAGTGACCCTAAACTCTTTTATGTTCCTCAAACACATCAGCTCTGAACTCATCCTCCTCAGGACCTTCTCATTTACTGAAGATTCCTCAACTTTCCAACCCCACTGGGATACCCAGTTTTTATCTCCTCTGGCTTGCCTTCACCCTTTCTGTCTTAGATCACCTCTGAAAAGCCTTCCCTGATCTCATTTCCCTTGACACCAATATCCTACTTATTTCACAGTTTTTAGCACACTCCGGTTATTTATCTTTTTATTATCTCTTCCTATATTAGAATAAGCTCTGAGTGGCAAGGACCTTGTCTGCCTTGCTCCTCCTACCACCCTATCTCCACTGTGCCTGGCATACAATAGGCAAATATACTGGAAATCTGTTGGAAAGCCACTAGGAACCAAGGTGACTTCAATGTCAAGTTCTGCCTCTTAATCCTTCTCTGCGCACCATGTCAAATTCAGTCCCTCTGACTCTCTTTCTCTGGAACACGAAGCCCTCTTGTCTGGAGCACATTTCCTTTAACTGAGACTATGTAGTATATATGAATCTTAATTTTCTGATTTCTAGGAGATTATCTGACTGAACCAGTAGGCAAGGGTTGGAGGATAACATAATTATTGGGGCTGTCATTTCAGGTGGAGAGTAATTCTTAGCAAAGCAAAGTCTGGGATGACATCTTCATGTATCTACAATGGGAGTGTTATTAAAAATGTAAACAAATTAGAAGTATCCTAGTTGAAAAAATTTTGGCACACATACCTATAAAATAGTGTTATTCAATTGTTTAAAATGTTGATAAGATCTAGACTGACACAGGAAGATAGTATATTTTAAGTGAATTATGCATGATTCAACACATCGTGTATAATAATCATTATTGTAAAAGTGTTTCAAAATATTAAACACATAATATATTTTGAAATAAATACTAGCAGTTATTCCTGAGTGATAGGATTATGGTGATTTTTTCCCCCACTCAGTCATGACTATTTATGTGGCTTAAATGTTTTATAATGGACACACATTACTTTATTTTAAAAATTTATAATCTATTATCAAAGTAATTCTTGCCTGTATTTAGAAAGTCAAACACTATCAAAACATTGCAATGAAAAATAATCTCTCTACTGCCTGAGAGTACCCAGTCTTCATCCCTAAATGGAACCAATTTTAACTCTTGGTTGTTTCTACTAGAGGGTTACAGCATTTCCCTAAATATTATGCTACAACTCCAGCACATTCATTTCAGACATTCCCAGTTTACTCATTTTATTATAGATTAGGATATAAAACCACCTTTGATATTTCTTGTCTATTCTTCTTATATAGATACATTATTATTGGTTGAATAATCAGTACTACATTGTTGTAACTTCATCAGGCTGTCAGTTACAACCAAGTACTACATTATGAATAACTTCCTTCCTCAAAGATCCTTTTGTTTTCCCTAAAGTTCTTTATTTTCCTCCTTCAATGTTTTCTTCTACTTTAAATTCGATTTTCTTCAACTGCTGCACCATGGAACTCACCTACCCCTTTGTTCTCATAAGGCTCCCTCAGTCCTCCGTCTCCTCAATGTACTCTGGGGTGGTTACCCTGCGGGTTGCTGGCACAGTATGTGCCACCTTTGCTGCTTTCTTATACTGCTTTTCTGGGGTATAGTCACAATTTCCAGAATTTTGATTTATCTTGTTCATTCCCCAGTTTTGCTGAAGTACTTCCTTAGGATCTTACGAAAATAACATGAAAGGTCAGGCACAGTGGCTCAGGCCTATAAGAACAGCTGTTTGGGAAGCTATGGCAAGAGGATCCAAGTTTGAGGTCAGCCTGGGCAACCTGAGATTCTGTCTCAAAATAAAACAACATGTACACTTAGAAAAATGAGAAATTATATCCCATCTATGTATGATATTTCAAAGTGCATAAATGCATTCTACTGTCATATATAACTAATTAAAACAAATTTAAAAATTAAGAAAAAAAGATCTTGTTAATATCATTGCCTCTTAAAATGAAGACATTTATATTTTTGTTGGTTTAAGAGTTCTCCATTATAATTTGAGAATGTTTCTGTTTAGATGATAAAACAAAATTTTTTATGTAATAAAACATTTTATTCTTGAAAAACAAACAAATAAGATAAAAAGAACTGGGGCTGTAGCTCAGTGGTAGAATGCTCTCCTACCCTGTGTGAGGTCCTGGATTTAATCCTTAGCATTGCCAACAAAACAAAACAAAACAAAACATTCCCTCAGATTTTGAAGATGTTGCTCTAACTTCCTCTAGCATCCACTACTGCCAATGAATTCAATGCCATTTTGTTTCATTCAACTTTAATATGACCTCATTTTCAGGCTCTTCTGGATACCCTCTCCCTAAACTTTTAGGCTCTTCCCTTTTATTCCTGTTATATTTCTTCATTTAGTCTTTTTATCACTAATTTTGCTATGTAATTAGAAAGCCCTTTCAACGTGGAAGCTTGTAGTACTTCATGTCCGGTCTGCTTTCTTTGTTCTTTCCTGAAATCCCATCAGTTGTATGCTAAAACTTTCAAACTGATCCTCCATCTTTTATGCATTCTATATTATCTATCTTTGTCCTTTATTTACTTTTATAAGACTTTCTCTATCATTTTATAACTACTATTTTTAATGTAGTATGGTAAAAATAGAAACAATATATCTGATAAGGAAATAGTTATATAAATTACCTCATGTGGTTATTAAAGAATGAAGACAAATTATATACACTGATATATTCCAAGACATTTCACATTAAAAACTCATTTAAAAAGTCTGGATATAGAAAGAGGAAAAACATAATTTAATTTTTTCAACTAATATTGATTAAGTGCTCCCTAGTTGTCAGGCACTATTTTAAAAGCTGAGAATAC